CTGGCTTGATGGGGAGTTTGTAGGGGTTGTAGGGATGATATGAGCTACTGTCAATAGTAGCCCTGTTAAGGGACCGTTAACAGTGGACATAAAGGTCCCTCTTTTAGCTGTTTATGCTGCACCCATGTCCATTAGATTATGTGGGAAATATTGACTGTAGCTTATATATGGAGGTATGTGAAGCTTATAGCATGCTAAAAGGCTGTATACAGAGCATTTGTGACAACAAATTTAGCAGAGAAATCTTGTGCAAGAACAAGGTTAAGTACGCTTGTAGCCGTGATGTCTGCCAGCTCAATGGCCACATGAGCTATAGTCTAAACACCGTCAATAGTGGGTATATAGGGGATTATATAGACGACTACTGCAAGGGTTATTCAGGGGAATGCTAGGAGTTTAGATTATGGCTCATGTGGTTCAGGATTTCGGGCTTAGGGTTAGGGCGAGGACTTGAAAGATGTAGGGAACGAGTGTTAGCAGCAGCTGCACCCGTTTAGTATTGCAAGGAAAAAGGCCGCAGTAGGATTCGCGTATACTGTAGTATACTGTGCGTCAGCTCAGAGACGCCTGTATGGTCCCCACATAATCCATGGGACCTCAACCTCGAGAGCTGAGACCTAAAGCCCTGAAGCCTATAGCCCAACTCAAGCCCCAAAGGCCTTACATCGGTTTATGTATGCAAAACCTTGTAGAATTCCTCTCAAACTGTATTGTAATTTCCGCGAAGGCGTGGACCACTAGCCCATTCTGAAACACCTTAAATCCACCACAATCTTCCTATCCCCCGCCCGCAGGAACCTAAACCCTTGAACTGCCCAAAATTAGTACTAAATTCCGTGAAAATAAAGCCCTAAACCTACCAGAACCTCCCGAACCCCTAAGCCCTAAACCCGGGTCCTCTGAAGAGCAAGGCCTACACAGCCATCGCCATGGCAGCGATGGAGGAGATGGTTTCACAAGAATTGGAGCGCCATTCTGGTAGTACTTCGTGTCTGTATATATATATATATGTATGTATATATGTATATGTATATGTATACGTGTGTATGTATATACATATATGTGGTTCTATTTATACAGGGGCCTATGGCATTGCCTATATACATCAACTATATACATATATATATATACATATTGGGAAAGCTCCATACGGCAATTCCAAGGCATTAAGGATAAAGACCCTAGCAATTGATTGTGTGCAACACAGTGATCAGAAGGGATTCCCCTAAACTCTAAACCCTAAACCCAATGATTCTATAGGAGTGATGTTGACAAACTCCCAGGAGATGGAGGGTCATTTCTGCTGGCCGGTGGAGTGGTTCAAGGAAGACCTGTCTGGGGCTAAGGAGGGAGGAGGGTCTTCAGGGGTTCAGCTTCGCAAGGATTGAGGCTGCAGGGGGCTTCTACGGGTAAGGTGTTAGGGTTTTAGGCGTTTAAACTGTTCATGGTACCGTTGTGGAACTTCTCGGGTTGCAAAATTTGAAGGGTAAGTGACTGTCATACACCGCAGCGATACCTGTTATTTCCGCGACGAGGTCCAGCAAAAGTAGCTTGGAGAGTTGCTGTTTAGTACGGGGCCTGTCTGGCATATTGTTGCAGCGCTGCTAAAGCGATGCCCAAGGAGACTTCAAGGTACAAGAGGAAGCAGACCTTGGCAATTGTATTTCGCACCCTCCGAACAAGCTTTAACTAGCCCGTGGCTGTCCTCTTAGGGCGCATCACACTGCCCTGGACCCAAGACTTTTATTGTGTGATTCACTGTTTATTACGGCTTTTGGCACTGCAGTATTTGAATTCCAAGGCCTGTGGAGACGAAGGATGGCTCCGCTATGGACATGGCGGTTAGAAGCTGAGCAGGGTGCGCTAGTTCTGTTTTAATTGTGATCACTCAGAATATGAGTAGGAGTGCTGCCTGCGAGTACTCCTGTTGTACATGTACGCCTGTATTTGCCAAAGTTCTCTTGTCTTACTGAGAGGGCTTACTGGGTTTGGAGAGTGCTTGTTTTGCAAGGTGCAGGTTCCAGCAATGTTCTCTTTCCTATGCACTGCTTTTGTTGTTCCCATGCTCAGTAAGGTCGGGCAAAAACCGGCAAAAGGTTTGGTATGCCGATATGCTTGAGCAAGCTGAGTTTTGTCATAATGTGAGCAGTACGATCCCAAGTACTGGGCAAACGGGATGATCCTGTGGGGCTCCAACAGGAGTTTAGGGTTTAGGGTTTAGGGTTTAGGGGTTTAGGGTTTAGGGGTTTAGGGTTTAGGGTTTAAATGGTTTGTATGAGGATCTGTTGGATTTGGGACGGGCACGGAACCCGTGTAAAGACGCATTGGATCCTCATGACATTGTTGCTGCGTCATAGGTCAGAGGAATCTCAGGCCCTGGGCTCTAAGTGACAATCAATCTCTGAAGGCTTCAGTTTTGAAGTCATTTGGCTACATGACATGCATGAGTAGAGCCTCATCACCGAGCCATTCCTCTGCATGAGGTTGAGAAGCTCATCAATTCCTCCAACAAAGTCCCGAAGATTATGGATCCCTACGTGAAGGGGGCGGGTTCTCAGGACGGAAATCAACTGTTTCTTGAAAGTGTCTAGGGTTTTTGGGATCCAGGGATCCAGGAAAGAGGGGGGGGGGGGGCTTAGGGTGTAGGAATTTCTGTGTGCACAGTAGTGTTTGACGCCTTCAGCATCTGTGAGTGCGCTCCGGGCTGCAGGGAATGGAAGGGAGGTCTACGGTGTGCTGACATTAGTGAAGGTTTTGACGCGAGCTGAGACTTCAAGCATCTGTAGTACCCCAAGTTTCCATGATTAGCGGAAACTAACAGACTATAATCTTGATTATCTCGAAAGCAGTGATCCCTAATTTTCGGGAACTCTTATCCCTGTAAACTACTTTAAATTGTGTCCATTTGCTGTTTGAGGTGATTCTCCAATATTTGTGAAAAATACGAGAAGAAAACCATTGCATATCAGTATATGTCGATTGCTTGCTTCAGCTTCAGATAAGTGCATGTACGCGGAGACAGGGTCATACTTGTGTGACCCAACCTGATATGTCGTTTACTATTCCTATACGCTCCTATGTCCCCTTGTATATCCGGATATTTTCATATCTATAGAATCCCAGAGGTCCCTGCGTAATCAGTTAGGGTTTAGGATTTACAGTTTAGGGTTTAGGGCTTTGAATTTATGACTTGGGGTTTAAGATCTCGGGTCTAGGATTCAGGGCTTAGGATTTGAATAGGGTTTTGGGCTTGGGGTGTTTTCCGCTCCAGTGTGGGTGCATTTAGCCGAAGTGACCCCGCAGCAGGAGCCCCTGGAGATTCCAAAGCCGGACACGCCAGCAAAGCTGAGACTTGGTTTAGGGTGTAAGGGTTTTAGGGTTTTAGGTTTTAGTTCGGGCTTTCGTGTTTAGGGTTTGTGGTTTTAAGGTTAGGGTTTTAGGGTTTGGGGCTCAGGGTTTAAAGATTCGGTGTTAGGTGTTTGGAGCTTTCAGTTTCGTACTCTTGGGGCAGGGTTTGAGAGTCTAGGGTGTCGATTGGAGGTTTGGTGTTGGCACTCACACTCACAGAGGATTCATATACAATTTACACAGAAATCTGGGTAGCAGCTCCACAGCTTGGAGAGAGGGTCCTCTGCGCCTGGCGCCAAGGCCTGAAAGGTAAAAGCTTTCCAAAGATCAGGTGTCCATTCTGCCGTGGTCTCCTTAGGAAGTATTTTTAAGTTGTAAAATAGTATAACCCTAAGGAACTATTTAAACAAATATTTGAATATTTGTATTATAGGTCCAAGGAGACTACAGTCTGGGGGCCCTTATGATAAGGATATAGTACATTGGGTTCCATATTGGGGTCCACTACGCATGGAAGTTATAAGATTCAGTTGCCAACGGGAACCTATGAACGAGCCTATCGTAGGGGGCCCAACAGGTAGAAAGGGTTTTGGGGTACATCATTGCACGAAATACTTCAAAGAGGAATTGTGTAGTATTTTATTTGGGGATACTGTGGTACCCAATATAGAGTAAGATTACATCTTCCTTTTGGGGTATAGTATTCTATATAAGGAATATAACCTTACCAGGTTCAACCACCAAAAAACCACTACTCAATTGTAGTCTGGTTGTGGGAAGGACTAAGATTGTCCCTGAGATCTCCGGTGCCTTGCTTCATGTGGAGAAGGAAGCCGTGCATTGGCAATTCTCATGAATTTCATGCTTTTTTCAACGCAGGACTACTTACCTGCCCCCGAAAATGGCCAGTCCCACCCCACCCTAATACCCAGAATCGTGTAATCTCATTATGTTGTGTATATCTATTGCTAAGAGGGCAGGGGATTGTATCAATACGGGAGTGGATTAGTAGCATCCTTGATTTCTCAGTTCCGGTAACGGAACCATGGTTTGAGAACTCCTTTCCAGTCACCATGCAAACCGCTATCACTCTGCAGCCCCGTTTTTTGAGCTTCTGAAGAAAGTTACTTGGGCATTTTGGTTCCCGTAAACCCTAAACCCTAAACCCTAAAATACACGTTTCATCACAGGAACGTCCTCGCCTTCTCGGATCACATGAACTATTGCAAGAACTTCTTCGCAAATGCGCCAGAGGGCCGGAGACTTGCCTGATGCTTGTGAAAATGTTGGGGATGTGGGGGCCTTTGTGGCCCCCAAACCACCTAAGTTCTTTGAGGTTTGTAGGTCTTCTAACATACTATTCGGCTGCTTTTTAGAAGGCCTTTCCATTTGCAACCAAGCAGTTTGCGGTTCTGGGCTTAAGACCTGAAGCCCGAAAGTCAAGATTCACCGAAAGGTCCTTAAGGAACCGGAAACACCTGGCCTGTTCGCGCCCAATATTAAGATTCAGGTGCGTAACCACACCAACTACTCAGAAATTACATAGGGCTCCTTAATGTGGTATTTTGGTAACATCTCCCTCACAACCCCGAGTAGAATCCGACATTTCCATATCCTCGGAAATTCTGACTGCAGCTCATGCAAGGATAAGCATGAAGAAGGTGGTCGAGGACTACCATTCCCTCACACAGGAGGATGTGAAAAAACTCGTTAACGAGCCAAAGAAGGGCGGCTTGGCGGCGAGGCGCCACTAGCGCTAGAAGGCATTTACGTGGGGACTGTAAGGTTCGGTGGTTACATGGGGATGCTATCAGGTTGGAGATTGAGCGTATGGAAGTTCTAAAAAAATTAGGGAGTCTTGCTACTTGCTTGGATAGTCTTTCAAACTGCTTTCTTGTGCATATTCCTGCTCGGGGTTTATTATGATATCGGAAGTTGTTTCCAACAGTGATCCAGCTTAAGCTTCGAATAGCCGGACTTTGGTGTGACGATATTCTTTCGGTGATTGTATCGGGATCATTTTGTGAATGCGCTCCCCCATTCTCTCTCGAACATATGTAAGTTAAGGGAAGTCGAGTAAACGCGCCATGCTTGCTGCCATGTTTGGATGATTTCACCGTTCGGCTCAAGCCTACAATGACCAGAGTTGGTTCGACTTGTTCTAAATCGGTTCTTGTTGAGAAATGTTCCTGATGCGTGCTCGGTGTAGGGTTCTCTTGTGAAGCTAGCCTATTGTAGCCGAGCCGACAACAGCATCTTAGATGCCCACTTCGGTTGCCTGCAAGCTGGCATTTACCGATTAAACCCTCAAGCAAAGCTCCCCTATCCGGAAGTCCAACAGTTCTCAGCAGCAATGCAAACTCCAGCCCCAATCCCGAAACTAAATCCCTAAGTCAAGGCCTGCCTCGGATTTGGCATTTACTTAGTCACACACCCCTTATGGTTCAACAAGTTCTACTAAAGCCGTGGCTATTAATTTTGCCTTGTCTTCGCCCAACAGCTGAGGCTGGGACATGGTAGTGTTTGCAGTGGGCTGCGACCCACCCAGGAGCAACGCTGAGCTTCTCTCCTTTTGAGGTGTATGTGTTCGACGGTCACAGTGCGGTCTTCTTGTCTTTGTTTCTTTCCTATCCCTGGTCCCTTCCCCCTCATCGGGAGAGAGAGAGAGAGAGGAGCAACAGCGTTGCAGACGTGATTGAGCAGCGCCCTGCCTACATCAGACTGGATTTCCGGTTCAGGCAAAAATTCTGCGGGTTAAGTCAGGCTTGACTAGAACTTCTCGACAAATGATCACCACGACCTGACGCGACGTCACCCCAAACAGTGGTTTGTGCAGAAAATTGTCCCAAGTGGCCTGAATTTAAGGATAAGAACACATCGTAAAGGCGCCAGGGAATTGGTCTGGTAAATTTTGGTGTTCTCATCGGTTTGTTCCGTAGATACATGTCTGCCGGTTTCAGGCTAGAAGGTATTGAACAAACACTTTCAAATATCACCCAGAACTAAAACGATCCGCATGTCAAGAAAGTCCGTTGCAAATCAAGGTAGCCTCTCCCAATCCCAAAGCCTGCTACACAATGAAATCTTGCCTTCTTTCAAAGCTTGGGACCTCGTGGAAACCTCATGGGCTAGCTGTACTCCTTAATCCTTATGTGCATTTTCTGGAGTGAGCCTACACATCCAGCAACTTGCTTTTGCGGAAGTTTGGGGACGAGTGACCTTACCGTTTGGTCTCTGGGCTCTGAACAGCCCAGGAACGCCGTGATCTCGAAGCTTTACTTTTGGTTGTCCTACGAGCTTCAGCGGGCTGAAACCCAGACGCCAGACCGAATTGGCCTTGGGCACCTTTTTTGCTTTTGTTTTTCCATTGCTTCATATGAGCAATTGTCTAAACTCCTAGTATCCCCCTTAGTAACCCCTATAGTAGTCCCCTATATAATCCCCTATATAACCCCCTTTAAGGAGTTTAGACTATGGCTCATATATCGTTTTGAGAAAGTGAGGTGCGCCAGGAGGCGGAAGGTTACTAAAATGGAAAGCACAGAAGCCCCCACCATGATGGAGGAATGGGAGAAGGCACCGTCTGGAGGATTTTCTGGCGCATGTAAGGCATGTTTGGTCTTGTCCATAGTTTTTTCGCTGAGTGTTTGTGATATCCTCGAATTAAGAATGCCAGACGGAGGCCCTCCTGTTGCTTCAGCAGACAGTTGAAAGCCACGACTAAGGACGAAGATTTTCTGCCTCGTGCGGGGGCAGTTCCACGAAGATAAGAAGACGCACATGAAGGCTATCAACCCCTTCGGTTTAGGCTCTGAGGTTTTTCTGTTTATTGGAGACATCATTTTTCGCTCAACTCGAGAAGGGCTTTGCAAGCCCACACAACGACCATATGAGCTACTTGTATCGTCTAAACTCCTTGTTAAGGGGTCATATCGGGGACACTATAGGGGTTATAAAAGGCGATACTAGGAGTTTAGACTATGGTTCATATGAACAGAAGTCCCCAATCGTAGCACGATTCATCCATTCAAAAGGAGTGCCACTGCTTTACATGGTCTTGGTGGAAAGCCCGCAGGCCAATCCCAAGCGCCACTAAGATATGCTTGTATTTTCATTTGAGAGACCCAGCAGCGCCATACCAAGATCTTGTTGAAGATGCTAGATGCATGCCGAAGTGGTGACAATGTGGCCTTTAGCGTATTGGTTTTTAGCGTTGGGGAATATATTCCTTATATACTACATTCCCATATCCTTATTAAGCACCGGAAAGACAAAGTGTAGACAACTTTCACGACACAAGCTAAAGCAACAAACGGTGAGCCATGAAGTGTACACCTTGCAACTAAACTTCGATACCCTATGGGAATACTGCCCATACCTTAGCCTACCGTACTTCACCTTCAGCCGGCAACTCAAATCTTAAGACCCAAAACCTTAAACGCTGTATCTAGCTCCCGCTACATTACTCATCCCTCATATAAACCTTATAGCATTCTCTATATAACCCCGATAATTAATTGGTCCCCTATTCCCTATATAGCCCTTGACACCACCACTTGAACCCTAAATAATCGATAGTAATTTCCATGTTCCTTTCCATGACCCCAATATAACCCTTACTAAGTCCCCTTGACCCTCCAACCAGAAAGCCTAAATGGTAGTTTCCCGAAATGGGGACCCCAATATAGACCCCAAAATACTATGGTCCTCATTATAGGGACCCCCCAAAATGGTACCGATAATTTTGAGAATCCCTAATCCCTATAATCCCCTATATAATCCCAGTTTCCATTTCATTTTCCATTTTCTTTTCCATTTGATTCTCCATTATAGTAGGTACCCATAATTTTGGGAAACCCTAATCCCTATAATCCCCTATATAATCCCAGTTTCCATGTCATTTTCCATTTTCTTTTCCATTTGATTCTCCATTATAGTCCCAACCCTAAACCCTGAACCCTAAACCCTAAACCCTAAATAGTAGCTTCCGTTTTCTTTTCCATTATCCCTATTTAACCCTAAACCCTAAATAAGCTCTTCACCCTGGTCAGGCAGGGCTTGGTCTCTGTGTGTCCGGCACCTTGCTCCTCGGCCATGAAGTTTGCTACAAGCTTTTGCGGTCTCAGAGTTCTATGGTGTAGGGTTGCAGTTGAGTGTTTTAGGGTTTAGGGTTTACTGGTTGCAGGGTTTGTGGCTTAAGCTCAGGTCGTCATGGGGTTGATGCAGACTGTTAAGGCTTCAATGCGACTGTAGCTCCTTTTTGTATGGGGGGTGCCTGGGTAACGTAGCTGTAGGGTCAGTTTCCCGAGCTAAGGCTATAGAGCCTGAACCGGTTCAATGGAGTGATATGAGTCATTGTCACGTTTTACTAAGCTCCACAACTCAGCCATATGACTGTCATGTGGTAGTCATGTAGTCTTAGTAGGTATAGATGAGATTCCCTACGGCCCTAGTTCTACAGCCCGTGAAATGACACACGGAATCCTCAAGAGAGATCTCATAAAATCCCTTCTGGTATCCTTAGCTATCCTAATTATCAACCCATCTACTAAGTCCCCCTGCCTCTCCAAGTAAGGATATTTCTACTTTGAAAGACCTTCTGCAAGGTTTGGCATGTGCAACACCCTGCGCCAAGCCCCGCACTCAGTTCAGAAGCCACAGGGGGTTCTTCAAAATCGCGGGGATCTTATATATGTATATGTAAAGAAATACATACATATATACATATATATATATATACAGTGATTCTGGTAGATTCCCATCCCAAGGGCTCATTTTGACAGCCTCCCATAGGAAAACATCCCCCAAGCATGCATGGAACTTGAGAAGTAGTTTAGTACTTAAAAGGGCTAGTTCGCATAGCGATGCTAACTTATTTTTTTCAGGGTTTTGAGTTTCTGTGCTGGTACCACCAAGAAGTCTTGCTGGTGCTTCTGACTTATTCATTTACCTGGGTTGCTGTCAAGGACAAGAGAGCAAGTTACTATAATAAGGAAACCTGCCTATTTACGATATACCCATTTCATGGTAACTTAATTTAAGGTCCTTAGCAGCAACCCAGTGACCGCAGTTTAAGGGTTCTGCTGTTAATTGTTTCGAGAGTAAATAAGAGTGTGCGAGGGACAGAGAAGTAACTCCATTATTCCTTTATAACCCTAAAACTTATCTACTACAGTAGCTTCTACTTTCTTTTCCATTCTCCCTATATAGCCCAAATTTACGATCTCCAATGACCATCCCACTGTTATGGGTGGCGAGTCTCGGCTGCGTCTTGCATGTGCTTGCTTGCCATGTTTGTTCTGGGGTGCAGAGTTCTGTAACTGTAGACAAGACAGTGTGTCGTAGGCCGCCCTTGGAGCTTTCATGCCAGTTTTGGGCAAAGAAGTGGGCCCCTAGAACCCTCCAACTGCCCACTATTTAGGCCTAAGTACGAATCATTTGGGCCCTATGACTCAAATTAAGGGTACCAGGAGGGCCCGCGTCAGGAGCTTGAAACCTGCACGATCCAGTTCTGCGACACCGAGCTCCTCGGACTCGAGCAGACACAGATGGTAGTGGTTGAGGGGCTTAGGGTTTAGGGTTAAGTGTCTCAGAAGAACCCCCACGTAGCGTCCCTGAGAGGCCTGCTCGGGGTCGGTGTATCAACGATCCTATGCTTCGGCCTAGGTTTTTGTGGACTTTGGCATTGAAACATAAGCAGATATCAGAGATGACAGCGTGACATGAGCGGTGCAGCTTCGTGAAAGAAGGAGTCTACCTAGACCCTCCACCTGTCTTTAGGCTTAAGTACCGACTTTTGGGGGCCCTATAACCCAAATCAGGGGTACTCAGAGGGTCCTGGTATACTGTGCCTCTGCTGCTTCTCCTCACATGCACAGACCTTTAGAACTCCAAGCTAGAGTCCGCAGGGGTTTGAAGAATGAAGTGTTCAAGATTATTTTTGTCAGAATAAAAGCAGGTGCAAAGATTGTGTTTCCCATGGATCCAATGACAACACAAGGAAGGAAGACCCATAAAGCATTGCAGCGCTTTTATGCAAATAAATCGAAGCTTCCCGCACACTGCAGCAGCTCCAGGTACTATCTCCCAGACGACAGTGCCCTGGCACCTGTTTCTGAATCTCTGCGTTTGTCTCTTTAGGGGTCTTCGGTGCAGCAGACCATTTACAGCATGAGGTTGGTTGCCTAAGCGCGAATTATTTGATCATTTGAAGGCATAGGGTCTGTGGTGTTTTATCATAGCCTTTTGCTTACTGGGAAGTTAGTACGGAATATGGGGGATGTATTATCTAGGGGTTATTTTGGGGTTATAATCCCTTGTTCTACTAAGAACCAGTATCCACCAAGGCGATGTCTGGGCGCGTGTGGCCAGTGAAGCCTTCCGGGACTGCTTTGCTATCAAGGGCGAATAACGTAAGGCAATATGTGAGCTAGAGTCTAAACTCCTTAAAGGGGCTAATTAGGGGATTATATAGGGGAGCGCTATAGGGCTCGCTTAGGGGGATACTAGGGATTTGTACTATGGTTCTTATGTGGTTTCCGGAAAGTGTATATGTATCTTTACAGACACATACCCCAGCATGATCATGAGTTGTGTGGGAATCTATCAACAAAATGCCCAATAGTTTTTGCGAGCGACCCCTGCATTCCCCTTGCATTCCCTATATGAGTTACTGAGTGTCAATTTCAGCCTTATTAAGGGACCCTTAATAGTGGACGTAGGGATCTCTTTTGTAAATTTGTGTAGTCCCTAATATAGTCCCTGATAAAGAGCCCATGTCCATTAAATTGGGTAGGACATATTAACTGTAGCTTACATATTCCTACGGGATCCCGCAGAGCTCCGCATATGGAGAAACGCGGTTTTGTAAGACATGTTGGCTACAGGCATGACAGGCTACACGCCTGAAGGTGTGAATATGATGTAGAAGCCTGAATAATAAGCAATATTCAATATTCTTCCCTTAGATTCCGTGCATGCATGCAATTGTGCCAAAACACTAGTGTAAGCAGTAAAATATGTACCAACACCCATTTAACAGGCAACCTCATGACAGATTTCAGATATCTTTGGGTTTCGCAAGGCAAGGAGCGGCGAAATGCGGAAGTTTGGTGTGTAACCTGAGCAGGAAGATGCGGGGATGATTGGGTATCAACAAGCCATGCAGCTGCTTCAGAGAAATCTGAAGATCTTTCTTACATGGTTTGCCGTAATCCTCTGGTTACCAAACGAAGGCGTCTCAACGACCATGCTGCCTCTAGTGCATGAAGGGGTCGTGGTAAAGTCTGTTGAGTTTGCATGCTTCGGTACATCCCCGTATGGAGATATGACGGCCTAGACCATTTTAATCTGCAGCCTTTTATACCTCCATCCCAAGGACCCCTCTCCCCCTAAAGTATATGCAGGATACGACCTTCGGCCATAACGACGTTCGGATTTTGAACTCTGGCCGGTTGGCAGCCCAGGAGGGCAGCGAAGGAGGGCTTTGTTTCAGGATGCGCGCGCGTGCGCGTTTCAGACTGGAACCCCATATTATGATGAGCTGTAGGCTACACCTCTTAAAAGGGGACTTTGTAGGGGCTTATATAGGGGCCTATATTAATGATACTAGGGGGTTAGACTATAGGTCACATAGCTCCTGCTCAAGGCCTGGAGCCTTTGTAGGGCGTCTTTTGGGGCTCTATTTTGTGTAATCACAGCACAGGGTTTAGGGTTCAGCCATTCTTCTGAATAACATCATACGGCTATGTTTTGGGCCTGAATCCCAGTCTCATTCGAAGCACAGGGAACCTTCGCTGGCGTTCCTTTTGGAATCATTTATCCTAAAAGTTGGGCAGCGAAGAGCCTACCCTGTTAGCATACACTCGAATTGGCGTTGTTGCGTAGCACAACTCCAAAGTAGGTTTTTGGGTACATAAGTGGGTTTAGCGGACAGGGCCGGGTGCTTAGGGGAACCCTTGATCCAAGCCGTCAAACGTCACCCCCTAGGCCTCATGCCCTCTACGCCAACAACCAAGAACCCGCGCCACATAGTTTCCAAGGCGTGCATCTTCTTTCGAACGTCATATTCACCTGCTTCCACCAGACTATATATCCTAGCCCTTACCTTCTCACCTTTACCTGTGCCCTAGCCTCTGAACATTAAACTTAGTAACCCAGACCCTGACCGTTCTTCTCGAAGGTAACCTTGTTTTTCAGCATTGCTTGGCATGTTTGTATGTGGAAGCGCCCCTGATTCTGCCAAACATCTACATTCTAGATGCCAGACACATCCCAAAAGCCCGAGAGCGATAACTCATGGGATGAGTCAGCATACTCATCCCCACCATAACTTGCCTACATCTTCATTGTCAAAGCCTTCTTGTAGATGGCCTACGGCGCATAGCCTGTTTTGTAACTTGCGAGCACTACTTGGAAGTCATGGGGCTGAGTAATTATGCGGAGTAGGCAATGTATGCCATCCAAATTGCAAGCGCGGTCCGTGCGGTCATAGCCCCAGCTACCAGTAGCTACTATTACTAGGTCCCACCTTTGAGCACCAGGTACGTGCAGAGGCGCGTGTCCTCGAAGGCGTATCAGGCTGCCAACAAGGAGACTGCTCTCCCGCCAAACACTCCATGAGCCATAGTCGAAACTCCTTAAAGGGGGATATATAGGGGATTGTATAGGGGACTACTATAGGGCTTATTAAGGGGATAGCAGGAGTTTAGACTATACCTCACATGGGTTGGGCAAAAGCGGGTTACGCTGGGGACATCGAGAGATGCTTGGGTCACCCACCCCACTGTTTCCATTTGATAGCCGTAGGGTTCCAAATTTTGCTTTCAACCAGACTGGCTGTCATGGGCAGCGTTATGAGGAGACCGACATGTGGAAGTTAACAAAAGGGCATGTCATGGAATGCGACGTCTTCTATGAAACGGACCTACGTCAGGAGCAGACTTCATGGAAAAGTTAATGTGACTGGCCGCTGGCACCTTTAGTTGGTGCGGTCTACCTAGTAGAACCCTTAAAGTCAATCTAGAAATGCCAGAGATCACGTAACATCACCGTAGCGAGGCTTCTCAAGCCTACTCTTGTGGCTTACGACCTTGAGGGAATCGATCTCATCTCATGTCAGGCTTGCGGTGCGCAATGCAAAGCTCGAGATCCGCAGGGCATGTAGGCTACGAATGGTCTCTGAACAAACAGTCGTTACATACATATGATGTGCATCCCCTTACCATGAAGCCCCTCTAACACAAATGTCATGCAAACACAGACAACTGTGGCATCATTACTGCTTCCTGCCTGAGTCTATCATGATGCCAAAGCTTCTTATGTCAGCCTGCAGTGGGCGACCTCAACTCCAGGAGTCCCTACCAACCATAGCAGTGAGCTATTCGTCTGGTAGAGATGTTCAGGTACATAACACATGATCAGAGCTGTCACGCATGATACGCATGGCCAGCAATAACTTGTGAGGGTGAGCAATTGTAAACATATGCCGTAATACCGGCGGGAAAAGTGAAATCTGGCATGGAAATCTGAACACATCAGCAACCCTCGTGGATCGTGATAGCCACCAGAACACTCCACTAAACAAGGACGGAACTCTAGCCTCGACTCCCAGCACAGCCGGTACATCAACGCCCCCCGTCCCTACAATATAACTTACAGTGCCAACTCCCATTTTGGCAGGAGTTCCCCATGCCCAGCGACGGCATCATTGCCATCTCTGGAGGCCACACGCCAATAAGCAAGTTCTGGGAATCCACGCGGGGGCAGTTCTTGACGCGCGAATTTGTAAGAGGTACGTTTGGTTTGCAGAATTTCTGGCTTTTGGCTTGTACTTCTTAAGTTCATGCAGGGCTTTGGGATTCAGTAGTCCGTTTGATGATGCTAGAGCCAACATACACTTGTGACGGTTCAAGCGTAGTTGATGCCTTGAAACCTGATCTTTTCGCACACCCCACTTTTGATAGCACGGCTGGGGGGGGGGTAAAGCAATCCCTGATCGAAAAGCCCAAAAGTTTCGGGCTAGGCGCTTGTTTGCTAGGAGGGCAAGCGGGTGCATGGCGTTCAGCTCAATCCTCAATATTCTATCAGTTTCCCTGAGTCAGGAAGGGCCTGTAGGCCCCATGCTGTGTGGACAGCATCTTTTCTACATCAGCCGGAGCTGTTTCAGCGAGAGCTCTCAGTTGTTCCCTGTCAACTGGCCGACCCGCCTGTTGAAGCGGCCCAATGCCAGCACCGCATGAACCGAGGTCCTTCGAATCTTCGCCAAGTGCCCACTATCTACTTGCATGGTAGGTTTCGGTGTTGGTCCATGGTTACATATCAATTGATATTGCACTTTAATCCCTGAACCCCATATTCAAAAACCTAATCACCAGGCTTTCCTGAGGCCTTTAGGTTTGACCCCTATAAACCCTAAACCCTAAATAGTAGTTTCCATTTTTCTTTTCCATTATCCTGATACATCCCTTATATAACCCCAATAAATCCCTCACCCTAAATAGTAGTTTCCATTTTCTTTTCCATTATCCCGATATATATCCTCTAGATAACCCCAATAAATCCCTCTGAAACCCTAAACCCTAAAGCCTGACTTTGCAGGAAATGGAGCCCTAGGACTGGTTATGGGCGGCTGGCTTCTGGATAAGGCAAGCTGAGCACATTTTCGTAAGTCCGGGGTTAGGGCTTTGGGGAGGGGTCAGAGTGCAGGGTTCTTAATGCTTATAAGATCTAGGCCTTTGGTAAGGGTCTCAAGGGCGGATAGAGTTTACGGAGCACAGGCGCTTCGTTGAATTGCGGATCTACGTACCCAAGAATCAGAAGCAGGATGCACATCCAATTAGCTGTAGCCTCTTCTTGGTCTAAGAATTCTGACTGAGGATGTATACCTTCTGCACGAACAAAAAGGTGGGTTTGGCTGAATCAAATTTCGCAATCTGCGAATGCAAGGGTCTTCCATGTAAATCGCACCCTTCTCCCCAGACAGCTCAACTCTATTTTCTTCTCAAATAACAATTCCCTGCGGATCCCCGTGTATACAAGAAGTTCTTACAGCTTCTTCATGTTGTTGGGCCCCATGTAACTCAAAAAGCCGACCTGAAAAGGCTACCTAGGCGTTGGAGGGGGACAAAATGAGCCTGACAAACTATGATTACTCTTTAGAGTCGGGTACATTGAACATTGTTGGCAATACTAAAGCAGACCATTTTGTCCGACCTACCACATGTAAAATTATCTTCCTTGGGACTCCTACCTGGCGGAAACTTGTGATTGCCATGTTGCCTGCAATAGTTTGCAAATTTGCGGGGAAGTATCGGTGCAAGCCGGAAGAGAACGGGAGCCCGAAACCTGTAGTAGCAGTTGCGGTAATGGTCGCGGCAGCAGCAGCAGTAGTGCGAAGTGGTATTGGAGCCGTCTTGGCGGCAATGGTGTTGCGCGCACATTATTTTGGTCGCGGTTGAGATCAGATGCTTTAAGCGCGAATCACGTGACAGGCTGCCGAGCAGGGCGTTGGCGGCTTCACAATCAAGTTCCTTTCCCGATCGGTGAAGATTTCGGCCACCTGACCACTATTGTGTTTTTTGGGCAATTAAGGTGCCAGGTTACGTTCGGATACAGACCGCAGACGGACAACTTATATACTCCTTCCCTTATGCAGTGAGACGTTGGGGTGGAGGGAGGTTGCCTATACATGTTATCAGCTCTAACTCTAACAGCTTGGCAGATAGCAGGAGGGGAAACACAAATCCTAGCTCTATTGAGACCCAACTTTACAGGATTTTTGCCAACACTCGTTGTTTTGCAGCTGTGGTTCACTGTCACCAGCATCGCACTTGCAGTCTGACTATCCCAACACAAGCTTGGAAGATTGCAAGTGCAGGAAGCACGTACATACGATCACGACGTCTCGCCCTGTCTCTCCCACTCGGCTTCTTTTCTGCCTCTTCTCCCTGTTCGTTCCTACTGCTCCAGCTGAGGACGGGAACATGTATCTTTGGAAGGACATTGAGGCGAAAGCCGCAAAGCTGGGTGTCACTGTCGAGCAAGGACTGTCGCTGGATGGGGTAAACCTACTTATACTCAGGGCCAACTTGCTCAACCCAAAGCCCACAACCCTAGTTAATTTCTTAGATTTCAATCCCCACTAGTCACCAGTTATGTAGAAGCCTGAACAATGAACATGTTTACAGTAGACTGTGCCCCAGAAATCTATTCTAATCATTTCGTGCCTCTACGTACAATCCTACAAAGCCCTGTATATGTGCAGTTTGCCTTGCATTGTTCATGCTCTGTCCGGTTGATGTCCACTGTTCTAATGCCAAGAAACTCCTATTGCAGTATATATGCCCTAAGCACCGAAAGTCCCTAAAACCCATTCAACCGAGGCCCTTGAAGCGGATCCCAAATCCCCAATAAACCCTAAACCCTGAACCCTTAAACCCCTAAACCCAATCCCCATGACTACAGCTCGTCAAGTCTGTTTGTCAGGAAAGATGGACATGTCCTCGCAGGAGGGCTGCAACAAGTTCATCGAGTCCTGAAACTCGTTTGTGCCAAGCATTTGTGCCAAGCAAGCCTTCAGGGTCCAGGTGCCTAATAATCACATACTTACACAATATATCTGCATTATAACCACTATTACCCAAATCCCAAGTACCCAATTATTGGGTACTTGAGCCCCTCAATTTCTTAATTCAAGGCTTTTTGTAATCTGGTCCTTCTGAGAAGCCCATTGGTCCTATTGAGGAGGCATTTGTGCGGAGTGTGCAACCTCTTATTGGCTCAGAGGCTAAATGATGGTCCTCAGATGCTTCCCAAAACCTCCCAGAATTGCCCAGCGCCTCACCAGGTCTATTCAATTCTAATCCAATTAACAGAGTTCGAAAACTAAGAAATTGAGGGCTCAATTTCTTAAATTGAGCCCTCAATTTCTTAATTTGGTGTTTTTTGAAATCTGGATATTTTTATCAATTTGGAGACGAACTACAAAAGGTCATTTCTAAACATATCTATGGCCAATTCTATGAAAGTTTTTCGAGAATTGAGACATTTCAAAAAACAGCCACCTTACAAAAACAAACTAAATTAAGAAATTGTCTCCCGCGAGGTCAGCGTACCCTCGATTTTTCATTTCTATTTGCCCTGTATTTTCATCAACATTTCTAGGCGTGGCCGCCGAGGGGCTCAATTTCTTAAACCAATGATTTCTTACACAGTGCTGTCGCTGTACCTACCTACATACATACATACACGCACGCACGCACACACACACATGTGTATATATGTATATATATATACATAGACACATACATTCATACATACGTACGTACATACAACACACACCCGGGATTTTAGGGGTTAAGAGGGGTCTATTGGGGTGCGTGTGGGCTTATGAGGGTTTAGGGTTTATACGGGTTAGGGCTGAAGTTAACCTTCCGGAGGTTGGCGTTCGTAGTTTTGCTTGAAATTCCCACAAGGGGGACTGTCCAGAATCTATTCTGCAGTTTCTGTGTATATATATATATATGTATATTACATCCATATGGTCTCCAAAGTATCCAAAACTTTGAGAAACCTCGCTTCAAAGCTTAGATCGTCTTCGCTTGTCTGTTCCGATGGCATGTGAAACAGCAAGGCAATGGCATGCTGAAGGGCTTCATCCACTCTGCGGGCGTGCTGCGAGACTCTATGCTCATGAACCTGAACCACGGATGTTCTTAAGAGCTGTTGTCAGGATTATATCTACGTCTTCGAGGAACTATAACAAACAAGAAACGTATTCATCTAGAGTTTACGGAGTACTCTAGGTGCTTTCAACTGAGGACGTGGGACAGATTTGAAGATGTCTTCCAGTCAAAGCATCACGCAGCTCTGTACCTGCACGAGGCCCTGGAGACCCATCCGCAGAAGGACTTCCCTAAGCCCTTGTCAGGCCTTAGGGCCCCCAGTTATACATAGGGGTGATATAGGGGTATAGCAAGGGATATATAGGGGTATATAGGGTATATAAAGGGGTTATGTATAGGGTTGTTATGGGCTTGTGGACTCGAACTTGCGAAGCGCAAAGCAAGGGTGGCACGGATCGTGGTCAGGTTGTGTGAAAGAAGAAGGGTTCCTGCAGCCAACAGAGAGGACTTGAGATTCATGTGGAACTTCTCCTCCACGTCCGTCTACGGCAACATGGGCCAGCTGAACTATTCCGGCTCGAACTCCTTCCTAGATGTCCTCACGCGCCACCGGAAGGACACGCGCAACTGCACTTCAAGTATTACCTCCGTTTTACTCAGCCTTCGAGAAGTGTTGGTTGCCAAGACTCAGAAAAAGGTTGCAGGTCGCTCAACATGTGGGTAGTTTCCCAAACTAAGGTTCCACTAAGGTACCGCAGAGTATAGGTATGAGGTAGTGTAATGCAAAGGGTGCCTAAAGGGGCTGTAGTGGGAGAGCAGGATGACCAGTATGCATGAGCCAGGTGATGAACTGTACGCAGGGGCGTTCTGCAAGTCCTCCTATGTTCCAGTACTATTCACACTATTCAGGCCACTCATGTGGGACCCTTGTTCTTTTGCCTCTGCTGCTGCTGCTGCTGCCGCCGCCGCCGCTGCTGCTGCTGCTGCGGCTCGTCTCCCGCTCCTGCTCCCCCTCCTCCTGCCCGTGCCTGCCCGTGCAGCTAGGGGCGATGTTGCTGCTATGATCGGGGCTACTATCACTTCTATTTTCGTGCTACACATGATCTCACGCCCATGCTCATCCCTGCAGGCCAAGGGACGTCCTTCCATGGCCATCCAGTGGGGCGCATGGGGCGATGTCGGCATGGCCGCGACAATGACAGGGGCTCAAGGGTGTCTTTTTGAGGCCTCCATAGGTCGCCATTCTAGAGCTGGAAATCTCAGGGTGCACATGTGTGGTCTTTTTGCTTTTTGCGCATACAAGTTCTTGGCCCTATGGGAACCCCCACAGCCAGCATGGAGCTGAATGGAGGTAAGTTTTTTGAACACGCGGCACCTATTCATTCAAAGGTGTTCATGGGTAGTTGCATATCATATATGTCTTGACTTCCAAAAGCACAATGATAGCAATTCCTTTTGACTTCTAGCATGCGTTGGGTACTTGTAAGCCTGCCTATTCGAAGCCTGAAGCTTTCAAGCGTACCCCGTCCGCGCGGATTTTGCAAGCATCGATAGGAAACCCTATGAGGATCTTTCCTGCTCATGTACTTGACAATTGAGATGCTTAGTAAACATGGATTTCTCAAATACTGGGTCCCCTTTTAGGGATTCCCACGAAAACGCTAAATTATTTTGAGCGTTTACCGTAGGGGCCGCTGCACCTTAACTCCGTATCAAATACACAAGCTTGGGAAGATCCTGGTACAGTCCTTCAGCCTCATGGGTGACTCTGCAAAATTCCCCAGCGTATATATGGTATAATAATATGAATATAGCATATCGTAGATAGTTGTGTATTACAATCCCTAAACCTCTAACCCTAAACCCTAAACCCTAAATCCTTAACCGTTACCTCCCGAACGTGCAGAGGACCGACGCCATGCGACTTCGAACCATGAACTCGCCAATGCCTTACTTCAGCAACAAGGAGGGCCTGCGGCTTGCCTGCACATGGTTTAGGGTTTAGCGTCAGGGTTTAGATTTTAAGCTTAGGGTTTAGGAGTAGGTTTATGTTTCAGGGTTCAGGTTTAGGCCGTGGTTTGGAATTCAGGTTTAGGGTAAAGGGATTGCTGCTTGGCGGCATGGGACACAATTTCGGTTTACAGGTTTAGTAGTTTATGTAGTGGATTGAGTTTTTGGTTGAGGTAGGAAACATGGCCTCTGGTCGGTTCCAGCTTTAAGTCTCCTTTGAAGTTTGGTAAATGAGCTACCGTCAATGTTAATTAGCCCTATTAAGGAATCCTTACTAGCGGACATAGTTGTTGTTCTTGTAGTTTATTTTCCATCGCTGTAGCTCACATGGCAGGATGCAGCAGGATATTGAGCCATGACCTGCAGATGTATGGGTTTATTCGAGTTGCCCAGCTATGCATGTTTTAGACGTCAGTGCGTAATCACCTCTGCACTTGTGTTCGGCTTGTCTGAAGGTTGAGTTCCTTTTGAGGTTCGCTCAAGAAAGCTTTGTGCAACTACGCTCGCCCTTGAGTCACATGCATGAGCCCTCAGTCCCTCTTATTTGGACGCTCGTTGAGCGTGCTCAGCCACGCTGAATAGCACTGCAACAATGTCCACAGAGGTAACTTGGAGCATGCCATCAAAAGCGATCATTGAATCAACTCAAGGGTAGTTCGCACAACGAGGGTGCCATTTTGGTACGCCTACATATTAGGTGCCGTAATATAATCTATAACCCAAAATGCCGCCCACAATTGTTGGGAACAACCCTCATGATATGCCGAAAGTTAGTGCAGCTGTCGCAAACACCTCAAGTTACAATATACCATAATATACAACAATATACCATAATATACTGCAATGTACCATCGTATACTATAATGTACTATGGCATACTATAATATACCCTAAAATACCTTATTATACCCTAAAATACCTTATTATGCCAAAATATACTATACCCAGGACAGGCTTGGAGTGCGGCATCCAAACCGGCTTGCCCTACTTCAGCGTTTACAAGTTCAACCCACAGGCGTCTTACCTCGATAGGGTTTAGGGTTTAGGAGTCTATGGGGGATATTTAGGGCTTCGGAGGGGTTTCTTGGGGTTATATAGGGGATACATTGGGGTTATCCAGGGATAATGGAAAAGAACAGTGGATGCTACTATTCAGGGTTTAGGGTTTAGGGCTTCAAAATTGAAAGGAGGTGGGTTGTTTATGTGATGGGATGCTGTCAAGGGATTTAAACGACGTGGCCACGCTGAGGAAGCCACAGTAGTTACCATACATTCATACCACCGTAACTTAGGCCAAGTTCCTTAACAGCAACCTTCTCTGAATATAAGCTTGATGCGTACCCACATATCACTCCGATCTCCTGATCGTGAAGAAGCCCCAATAGCCGCAAGCTTCCCTCCAACCTCAGGTGACCATGGGCTGGATCCAGCCAATGGACAACATCTTCTCACTCCACAATCGCAACTTCCACAGCGAGGTGGGGTGACTGTAAAATCTGAAAGCAAGGGGCGTCGAACCCCCAATTCTCAGCCTTTCCGATACTCCCTCACATTCCACGTTACGGACAGTTATTCCAAAGTCCCCACATAGGCATGTATTATCTAATCAATGAATACTAGGTACTTTGGTTCAACTCATGTAGCAAAACTGCGACCTTCATCTTACCCTCAATATAATGGAGCCCATTGCGGAACGAGTGCAACTCCTTGGTGCCAGTTGGTGGGTCCGGCTCTACCAGTTGTTATGAGACCAAAGACGGTTGTCCCAAAACACGAACTACAACAGAGCCTACATTTAGGGTTGGATCTTATGCCAAAAGAGGACACGACCTTTCAGTAGTAGCTTCCGCAAACTTCAGCTAGGGCTTATGGCCTATAGGGTTGAGGGTGCAGGAGGTCTATGTATTATTAGCCCCCAGATTAAGCCTTCAGGGCCTGAACGACCCAGAGCTGACATGCTGAACCTGATCCCTGATTGACACACAAACCGGAATTATCAATCCTAGAATTCCTCAAGTGAGAAAAAGCAAACATTTGCCGTTTAAGGCTGGGGCTTGAAGCGTTCATCACACCGCATCGAATTTTCAATTTTGACATATAGTTTCATAGTAATTGAAGACTCGCCTCAAACAGTTTGGCGTCGCGCTCCTTACCAATCCTGAGCTGCCAAGGTGGTGATCGATGAATTGCCTTTCCTTTGGTTTGCGGACCAGCTCTAGGCTTATCAGTCAAATTTCTCACCTGGGATGTCCCATTGACTTCGAAAATTCGGAATAGCCAAAACGTTTCTGACTCAATTCTGCACCCTATTTGGAAAGAATCTTGACAAAAGACTTCTGCAGGTGGCACCGACGCCCCCGGCACCCCCCCAGCTTGAGCGGAAGCACTACTACACTGTCCTGCGGATGGCGAAAGGCACACCTCCGTTGCAGGAACTCAGCTGGTTCGCTTGGCCCAAGACCAATTGCCTCGCACCATGCGCGTGATTCGAATAGAGTCCTTGTTAATCTGGCTCCCTTCGCAGTGGTGGCCAGGTCCGCAGACGAAGAGCCCCACCGCTGTGCCGATGGTCTACAACGCCTACGTCAAGGTGCATGGCTGTTCAAGTGGATTGGGTCGGGGCTTTCCTTGCGACACCTCTTCTATTGGTACTTTGACTATAGACTTCCAGATATTGAGTGCTGAAGCCAGACGGATTACGGATTTTTTCGTCAAGAGCTCACAGTCATGGGTTCCAGGTTGGGCAGCTTGCTGTTTAAGGTTCAGTGATGGGGGTCAGTGCCAAGGCATGTAGAATGTACGGGATCTACCAGATTTAGGGGCTCTTTTGCTTGGGGACAGATTTGATGACCTGACAGGCCAGACTTGTGCAACATGTTTTCTGCGAGAGGTCATTGAGATTTGCACATGTCTGATGTACGGTGACCATTAGCATTAGAGCCATAGGGACGATTGCCAGAATCGTGTGTTATTTTGTTGTCCACTTGTGGCGTTTTCATCTGCTTCTAGACTGTTATACTACGGTTGGTGTAGGAAATCTTGCGTCACCCTATATGGTAGTTTCCCAAAATGAGGGGACCCTAATCCATATGACAGGTACCCCCGTAAAAAGGTACCCCGGATTTTGGGAGTCCACAATATACGTTGTATCCCAGGAGTTACAGCCTATTCGGGATCCTACGTGGTGAAAAATCTTGTACAGTTACATTAACCGCATCAACGTTTCTCATGGTACTTCAGCAACCTCATGTGATGGATAAAACGACTTCTACTATACAGGTAACTAACAGCGTAATTACGCGACTCCTGCTTGCTAGTCTGATTAAGTTGGTGTCTATATTGGGGCCCCTTTCGTATGGAAGCCACCGTCTCATTTTGAGGTCAAAGGCAGCTGCAACCTACCTGCAACACAAGTCATCGTCAAAACATAGGACAGGCCAAGCGGTGAGGAAGTACACGTATAGTGCTCACAAGATTTTATCTAGGCTTCACCCGTATACATTCCACTTACTACTGCTTGGGACTGACACCTGCAACGCAAACTTTACTTCTCATCATCAAAGCCAAGTTTCTGAGCCGAAATAGCAAGGCAGATAACTTGCTAATGCGCAAACGTCAGCTATCCCCGCGCAGGCGGCTGCTGCAAAGGATGCGGCTGAGTGGGGCAATGATTTTCGAAAATGGTAGATCCGTGAAGCAGGCTGCGGGCAGAAGCTAGGCTCATAGCAAAAACAGACAAGGGGCCCTGAAAAGGCAGACCCTTGTGATCTACAGACCCCACGCAAAGAAGGTAAAAATTGTTTCTTCCTCTGTCGAGGCGCTCTTTTTGCAAGAATGCTGAGCTGCTCGCAGGCTCTCCCAGAGATCGTGCGTAGCCGGAAGCTGTGCGTCCGGGGAGCAGATTCTCAAGTCATGCCTGCTCCCCCACACTACGGCCTTCTTACTTAAGTAGAGGCCTACAAAAACTAGAACTACCTGCTCCGACCCCAACCCTACACTGCACCTGCAAACTTGAAGCCACACGCGCGCGCTTCCCGTGCAGGGAGGGGAAGTCATGGCTGGTCTTCCGCCGTTGCGCACAGGACTTGGCGCAGCAACTGCTGGTACAAAAAGGCATCTCTACAGGTATGCGAGCTTATTGAAACATCCTCAAAATTACACCTTAGCTCCCTAAGGGCTCCCTGTTGCGAGAAACTTCCCTATGATCTCACCAGGGGGTTCCAGTAAGTATCCAGATAACATGTGCTGGGTTCCAACTGGTTTCGAGAATGAGCACTGCTAAGCACAAATGTCTAAGTTTTTGCTTTTGAGACGGCCCCGAACGTTTGTTGCCGGAGGCCGCTGCATGGTGGTTTCCCTAAATTGAGTGACCCCAATGTGCACTACAAAATATTATAATTCATATTATCATGGGGACCTCCAAATAAGCATCCGTCATTTGGGAAACCCTTACATGGAGTTCCCTAATCTAAGCTCAGGGTGAGAAGGGGACGGTTGAGGGCATAGCTTTACTTCTGGAGCTTTTCTTCAGGTAGATCTAATTTGGTTCAGGGTTCAGAGTAGGTTGGCTGAAGTCGATCTGTTGATCACGAACACAGAGAGAATGGCTTGAGGTGGTAGATATTCGTACCTTCCCTCAACCTTGAACTTAAACCCAAAACCCTAAACACCAAACCCTAGATCCTAAACCCTAAGCGTTTGGAGACAGAATTCAGGGATCGCTGCATAGCCTTACCCTCATGTTATTCGAAGTGGCAGTATATGACAGTTTCCCAAAATAGGGGACCCCAATATAGACCCCAAAATACTATAGTCCTTATTATGGCGACACCCAAAAGGGTACCCCCCAATTTTGGGAAACTCCCATATGAGCTATAGTCTAAAGTCCTTCAAGGGGGTTATATAAGGGATTATATAGGGGACTACTGTAGGGGTTATTAAGTGGGATACTAGGAGTTTAGACTATGGCTCATATGAGGCAGAACTCAGAGCGGCTAGGCTGCCAGCTTCAGCGGCGCAGGTACCTGCTCGCAATTCCGAGTTTCCTTACATCTTGAACATATCACCATGTGAGTGATGTTCTAAACTCCTTAAAGGGGGTTATATAGGCGTTACTAAGGGGGATACTTGGAGTTTAGATTATGGCTTCTGTAACGTGCAACGAGCTATTGAGAAAATCTGGTTGCACCAGACCCTGAACACGAAGTAAGTGGCTCTTGAGATCAAAATATGATCCCTTCAGCATTTCAACAGCAAGTTTCCTGAAATTGTCAGAAGCCCTGCTCCTATGGTCCTTCCAACTCATGCTATCTAACCCAGTATGACCCCTGCCTGACCCAAACCCTAAACCCTTTACCCTAAACCCTAAACCCCTTTACCCTAACCCTACACCCTAAACCGCCCTGAACCCGTAGCACTAAACCCCGAAGCCTTGAAGAATGTCACCCCAAAAGCCCCCCACCTACTTTACCAGGGGTACCTTTAAAAGGATTGTAGGGATCCTCAGGGGTTATATAGGGATATATACATTTTTGTATGCACATGTATCTACATGTATCTATATGTAAATATATATGTGTATGTATATATATATATATGTATACGTAGGTTTACGGCTTAGGGTTTCCCAGAATTAGGGGTACTTTTTCGGGTGTCCCCATAATAGGATCATCGTATTTGGGTGTCCATATTGGGTACTTTTATCCAGGGAAGCTACCATGTATTTCTTTTTACGAAAAGCCCTGCCTGCGCTTTCCGTTTATTTAACCCTACACCCAACTTGGTGATGATTAGAAGATAAGGGAGGAACGGGTCGCTATAGAACTCCTTCGGTGATATCAGGTGCCAGTACACAAGCCCCGAGCCACTTAAACCACCTGCAAAAATTGAATTTCCTCATCCCCTTATACACCCTAGAACCTAAAATTGACCCTAAACCAAAAGCCTAAACCCTAAATGCAAATCCTAAACCCCTGGATCCCTTGAGCCCCAAGAAGTCAGGCTTCACTGCTGGGATGCTTGGCTGAAGCAGTTTGTTTTCTTCACCAGCTTTCACTGTTAAAGGATGGTGGTTGGGGGAGTTTTTCTCGGGTTTAGGGTTAAGGGATTTAGGGTTTACTTGGGGTTTGGGGTTAGATGTGCGCTCCGTGATCTAGGGGATTCTGACAAGGTTGGGTTGGCTGCGCGGTTTTTGTACCCCATAGTTTCCACGCTTTCTGACTAGGCGGACGCTGGGTCAGAGGCCCTAAACCCTAAACTGGGTACCAGACGTTTTGGGATGTGTCAAGACACGTTAAGAGGGGTAGCAGGAAACCAGGAATGGATCCGAATAGCAGTCCCTGCATACTCCCTAGCACCGTAATTTAGTAGTTTTCGTTGTCTTTTCCATTCCTTCATTCCTTGCTAACCAGGCATAAGAACATCCTCGACCTCCAGCCCCTCCACGCTCAAGACGTGCAGTCTCGCCTACAGGCAAAGCTCCTAGCAAACTCCGGATCTACGACCCGTACTACTGCGCCGGTGCAGCTGGACTCCTTGTTTCTGATAGCTTGGTGCCTTCATTTCTGGATGGTCTTTTTCAGAGAAATCTTTGTGCGACTTCACGGTTTTGGAAACTGCCGCTAAAGCATTCTGGGGATGTATGTGGATGACAAGAGGATTCTGGAAGTCCCTCGGGATTATGCTGGGCTAGCTCTGAGAAATCCACATTTTTGGGGTTCTCTAGGACAGCTTTGAGAAATTCATATCTTCACTACTAGCCAGCTTTCTTTTCTAGATCCGACAAAGTTTAGGGCTTTCGGTTCAGGGATTGGGGTTTAGGGTTTAGGCTCCCGGTGGAGATGAGTTGAGTCATGGTGTGTTTTGTGGGCCATCCAAGTACAGGGGAGTGCTCGTGACAAGGTCAATAATGAATGAGGATTGTAAACAAATCGGTGTGTATTGAGGGTTCCCTGTGTGTCTGGAAAACTCCCATAAAGATGTCGCACCCCCAGCCCACAGAAAAACTGATGTCAGAACCCCGCGCAAAGCGAGGGCCCTATTATGCACAACTAGGTCCCAACAAATTTTGTCTCAGCGCCATGCTAGAAACCCTCCACGCAAACACACCGTCGTAAGAAAATCTTTTTTTGGTAGCCACACCCCTTATACTAAGGACCATAATAGAGTCATGTGACAGTTGTAGCGTCTGTATCATAGGGGTTGCCAAACTTCCTTTACGGTTAAACCCTATATCCACCGTATAACCCTTACACAACCCTCACTTTAGTAAGGACAACCAACACCTCTCTATCAAACCCCAAATCCGTGCTCAGAAAGCCTATAAACTCCAAATCCCAAACCCGGAATCCTAAATCCGAAGCTCCAAATCCTAAACCCTGAATCCTAAATCCTAAGCCCCGACTCCTAAACCCTGAATCCTAAAATCCTCCAACTCCTAAATCCTAAGCCCCACATCCTAAACCCTGAATCCTGAATCCTAAGCCCTAAATCCTAAACCCTACACCCTAAATTTTAGGGGAAAATTCCCAAACGCCAGAGATGAGGCAGTGGTGAAACACCTTGGAGAGCTTGGCTTTCCTCTTGTTTACAACAAGTGCGAGGACCTCACACCCAGATTTAGGGTTTAGGGTTTAGGGTTTAGGGTATGGGTTTAGGGTGTAGGTCCCTTTAAAAGCCGGGGGGGGGGCAAATCATGGGATAGATAAAAGATATGCAGGGCTATATAAGGGCGTTTAGGGTCTAGGGGTTCCCAAGATTAGGGGGTCCTTTTTGGACGTCCCCAGAATCAGGATTCTAGCATTTTTGGGTCTACAGATTGGGGTCCCCTTATTTATGGAATCTACGATGTACTTATTGTAGGGGTTTCAGGTTGAGGGATACCCCGAAACCTAAACCTAGAAACCCTAGCCTGATTTGATTCTCTTCCAGTAGAGGGAAGAGTCGTAGCAGCAGCAGCAGCAGCTGCAGCAGCATCAGCAGTAGCAGCTGTAGTAGTAGGTGTCATGCGCACCCGGTGCCGCAAAATTTGTTGAACATTACAGGTCGAAACGCTGTTTCTGAAAGTTCGGGGTGATAAATATTGTTTTCTGTACGTTCATGTTAATAGGTTTCCACGAGCGGACGCCACACTCAGCTTACAATTTGTGCTCTTGATTTGTCCCCAACACCCTAACATAGGGCCCATTATTCTAGGGAAACCAGATTCCATAAGGAAAACATGTATGTATGACGAACATGAGTTCAAATGAAACTACAATCTGTTTTTCAGTAGGTTGAGGAAAACAAATCCCCCTTTTGTAGGTAGTTACTAACTTCCTGGAGCCGCAAAGTATGCAAGTCGGCCCAGCCTTGGGAGGACTTCTACACTGTGGTAGCTGAGGGGCGTGCTGGATGCTCAGTATAGGTTAGGAGGACCCCCGACCCTGTAGTAGTGGCATAATAGGAATATAATAGGACCCTAATAGAATCCTTATTATCCCTTATAGTCGCTATTGCAGGGTGGGGGGTTCACCTAAAGCATAGGTTTTGTTGGGGTCCCAGGAATTTTGGATTTCGGGGGTCCATAGACAGATGGTTTGATGTTGGATCAGAGTTCATGCGTATGCTCTTGAGGTTCTTGGGTGTTATACACACAGGTACCGTACAGGAGTTTATAAATAGGATCTTCCAGGATGTTTTGGGATTTAGGTGGGATTCCATATAGACATTCTTTGGATTTTGAAGCTGGACCTGACTATGTGCTTCGGCTACATCATACCGTTTGGCCCTGATTGTAACGGGGTTCTTCAATGACCTCTTCTCAACATGGCATGTGCAGCCAAGTATCCTTAGGATTTTGGTTCGTCTCTCGTGCATGGGCCCCAACAAATGCAATGAAGGAGCTTGACTATCACCAGGGGTGCTCCTTGACAAGCCTTCCATCAGTCTGGCCGAATGTACCCACAAGCCCTATTCTAATTATTCGCGCGCCTACCCTAGGAACATCGCGCATGGAGTGTAAGATCTCAGACAATTCAGACCGTGGAAAGTTCGACCTCATCAAACAGCCACTTGCAACATCTTCTGCAGCTGTGATCAAAATCTTATTCAGGAGCTCAGCCCTGTCCTTCAAGATGACCCCAACAATTTATCGGATCTGATTGCATCCCTCATGCAGCTCAGTTACATCTTGACACTTGGGCTCCGAACTGCAAGCCTGTATGCTTCTGCCCAAGACTCTCCAAATTGCCCAACTTCACTGTCAAGGGTAGCCTTCACGTTTATGAAAAACGAGAAGCCCTGACTCAAAGCGTTCAAGTGCCCAAGAGTTGTACAGTTTGCGATGATCTTGATTTGTATCTGTTATCACGAGTTCCCACCCTGTTCCTGGGCACTTTGACGGTTCTCGTATGGTTGCTCATGCTGCTAAGGTCCCGAAGCACGACGTCCTCTTGACCAACCCTCCGTACAGCGGAGAGCATGTCGACCAACTACTTAGATTTTGCCGTCACTTGCCCAGATTCTCATTAAAACAGTCTGGAATCACGAAGCAAGGTGCTTGGGGAAGACCTGATGTGTGTTTGCTATGCATTCCCACAGATTTGGACTGATCCACGCATTGTAGTGCTGGCAAGACACTGTGGATCTCAGCTGTTTCGGCCCACGCTGCCTTGCCCAATTTGCACCTTTCCCGAGCTCTACAGCCATGGCCCCCATGAAGGCACTCAAATACGGTGGTGATTGTAGTAGCGGTTGCTTGCCGAATTCTCCCGCAAGTTGAGCAGTTTAGAAGACAGCTTTGATTTGTCTTCTTTTTGCAGGCGATGAAGGCCGCCGGAGCCAGCAAGAGCATGAAGGTGATGAAGAGCAAGGCTGTCCGCACTCTGCCCAAGAGTGGCATTGCCGCGCAAGTGGCTGAGAGCACGGGCTTGAAGAAGTCCGAGGTGACCCAGGTGCTTACCAACCTGGCTGACATTGGCGCAGCGGAAGTGAAGAAGACAGGCGTCTGTTGATCAAAACGAGGTTTGCTGCAACCGCGTTTAGGGTTCAAGTGTTTGTAGGGCTTAGGTTTTAGGGCATAGAGTTTATGATTGGGGTACCTGAGGCAAGTTCGTCTTCCCTGGCCTCTTCATGATCAAGACCCGTCAGAAGGCGGCCACCAAGGCCGGCACCAAGCTTATGTTCGGAAAGGAAGTAAAGGTCAAGGCGCAGCCGGCCAAGACGGTTGTCAAGGCCTATGCTGTGAAGGCAGTGAAGGATCAGTTCTAAAGCGGCCACGCCGAAAGGTGAGCGCTTTGTTTTGAGACTCTGTGGGCCAAGCCTTTCTTCAAGAAGGGCTGCAGCCATTTGTTCCTCGGGGTAAGCTTGAGGAGGGGCCTGCTTTCGTGGTCATTCATGGAGCAGGAATTCCTTATGGCCACACCTATTATGTACAGCTGGGCTGTGGGCTAGCAAGAATATCTCGGAGACAGAAAAAAGCGTGTGAATGCAAACTTTTTCCTCAGCAGTACTGCTCATTCTGCTGAGATTTAGGTGCCTCCGCCTCATCAGGAGTCTATTTTGTTGGCAGTTGAACTCATCTGACATTGCTCCAAGCTTGTAAAACTGAAGGCAGGTTCCCCACCCAGGTCCAGCAAACAGAGATCATCCAAACGCGAAGTCTATCAGATTGTTCAGGTGCTGGGCCGTAGGTTGGGCGAAATCAGGATACCTTCCGGACCCGATTTATCAAGTTATGGGGTTCCCACATATGGTTTTTCAGTGTTGTGTTGAGAAACTCCCATGGAGTTTCCCATGGTAGCTCCAGCAGTTCCCATGCTACCGCAGCCAGGGAAGTAATCAACGCGAAAGTTGTAGAAACAGATGTGCATATCATCCCCAAGGCCATGAACCCAGGCAACAGGAAAAACTATAGTCCCCCTTAAGTAGATGGAATATAGTGTTGGATACGTTATATGAAGATTCCCATATACTAATATACCCCATATTCTACCTACTTAAGGGGGACTATAGGTTCTGGCAAAACCCCTGGCCTAAACCCTCTCGATTTAGGGTTGAGGGTTAGGCACATGTCGCCCTTTCAACAGGACAGTGGTCTTTCTGGGCATTGTTTTGGTTCCATGTTGGCTTGTGTGAGGGCAAACGCGTCATATCCTAACCAAACAAACCCTAAGGGTCCAAGGACCCAAATAGTAGGGCTTTAGGTCCCAAATACCACTCAGATTACGCTATTGGGGCCCCAATACTAATACCCCACTGATTTGAGTCCTGGGAACCCTTAGGGTAAGTGAGGCCCTCTCGCTCTAAGCTCTGCTTAGCAAGAATGAAGGAATTGATCCCCATAGTAGTCCCTACCTATATTAGCTACCCCAATAGTACCCTTTTCCCTTTTTTATTCAGGGGTTACTGGGAACATTTGTATATTATATAATCCTCAATAACACAGTAGTTTCCAGTTTCTTTTCCATGTCTTGATTCCATGCTAACCTGAGCTAAGCACTTCCGAGGTTCGAACGCAAAGCCGTTCTTCCTGCTGATGCCGAATTACTTCTGTGCCTGGGATGTCCAGAGGTTGGCTTACTAACTTCAAGCTGAGTACCCGACATTAGGGGGGGAACCAGCAATCCCCGCCATAAGCACCGAACCCCTGCAACCCCGACTTTTGACTACTCTGCCCTCAGAACTCGAGTGCCATTACCGTACGAGGAGAAGAGTCTAATTATGATGGCAGTGGCAGGATTTGTTCTTGATTGATGCCACGAAGTGGACTGTTCTACGACAACAGGTTTGGGTTCCTAGGAAGGTATTGAGCATTGCAACCTCGGTGAGTAAGAAGCTTCACAGATGAATGCAGCACTGTAAGATACCGACCTGCAAGGCCTGACAAGCAATCGCTCGAGCCTGCCACGGCCTTTCACACTCATAGGAGGTGGCGTCCAGCATTGGGAGCTTGTTTCACAGCCCAACTATCTGATACCCTACAAAAGTCGAGTGCGCAGAATTTTGAAATTATGCTGGAAGAGCCAAGGTATTCATATCTGGAGCGAAAACTACTGCAACCCACCAAAAAGCAAGAAGCTACACTGCCATACCTTAAGCCCCAAATCCTGAACTCCTACATACCACATACTTTAGTGTAGCCTTCTATACACGCTATTCACCCTGTTGGTGTCCCACAACCCTGCCACTGAAGGTGCCAAGGATTTTTACGACGATGCATTGGCCTCCTCTAAGTCGGTGCTATACCTTTGCCCCCGTGTCCTGGTTGAATATATGCGGCTTAGGGGGGCCCCCAGGGTACATAGGCGTATGTAAGGGTATTTAGGGGTTGTTCAGGGTATTTAGGGTTTAGGGGCATAAACTTATGTGTATATGTATATACACACATATTTCGGGAAATCTATAAGGGGATGTAGGGATAGTAGGATTCTAACGGGTGCGGGTTATAACGGCATGGGAAGCGGAGTGGTATATGGTGTTCGCTGTAGAAGCCTTTAGACTTACCAAGAAGTCTTGTAGAGGCCTGGAGCCTTATTTGTACTAAAGCCTAAACTCCTTATAGGGGGGATATATAGGGGGTTATATAGGGGAGTAGTATAGGGGTTATTAAGGTGGATACTAGGAGTTTAGACTATGGCTCATTTAGCGATACTAACATACACCTGAAGTCCAATGCAGAAGGGTTTGGCGCTAAGGCTTAGGGTTCAAGGTTTAGGATTGGGCTTAGGTTTTGGCACTGGGGTTGAGGGTTTATGGGTACCTGTGCCGCGGCCTCCAGGGCATGCAGGGTGTCAAATTTGAGGTTTGTGGGCACTGTGGACTTGAGGATGTCGAGGGTTTAGGGTTCAGGGAATGGCGCTTAAGGTTTTGACGAACAATGGAGAATCAAATGGACAAGAACATGGAAAATCAAATGGAAACGGGGCCATCATGGCGTTGTGAAAGGGCGTGTTATGAGTAGTAAGGGAATTTTGGCAATCACAGCCCCTGAAATTAGGACCCTGCAAATTCATATGATGCTCAGTGGGTCCGAATTCACGGGTCGGGGTGGCCAAAAGCTTTTTATTGGTGATAGGGGCGGTGCTGGGTTTCGGGCTTGAGGCTCTCAAGAATTTCGCGGAGCTTGGACAGAGTCGAGCGATAGATAGCAGAATTCAAGCGGGCTTAAGGCTTATATTGCTTCATTACGAAATCGAACTCATACAGATACTCCGAAAGGATCTTCAAGAGGTCCTGGTCGTTGAGGAGCTTGGGGTTATGATTTCAAGCTCAGCATTACCCTAAGCTGTACACTCAATCCTTCACCGTTCAATCATGTGTTGCGGGCATAGTTCATCCCAGGAACCCAAATGTAGTTCCCAATTGACGTCTTGGCTTTGGACATGGCAGCTGAAGTCCCAACATCGCTTCTGCATACCCAAGTGCTACAGATCTGTCCCAAGGCAAGCGATACTTCTACTGGACGCCCAAGGGCCTCCGGAAGCGTTCCAAGGTTCCTCAGCTCCAGCAAAGCAAGCTTGGTTTAAGATTAAGGGGCAGTCATTCAGGGGTTTAGAGTTTGGCATTTAGCTTGCTGTATTTTTGGGGAATTCGGAAACGCTAATCTAAATCTCTACAACCAACATCCTACATCCCCACACTGAAGTCCAGCAGCTTTTTGAGGATTAAGGGAGATCCCTATAGTTTCCTTTCCATATATATATATAAATATGCATAGATATATACATATATAGATAATTATATATATATATATGTCCTAAGGGTCTCTAGGGTTCCCTTGCCTTGAGAAAAACCCAAGCGAGGTCCAGAGCCAACACGCAGGGGATGGAGGCCACCGTGCCTTTTAAGGAAACTCAGGGTATAGTCCCCCTTAAGTAGACAGAATATGGCTTCGGGTATATTATACTAAGAACCCCATAAACCCAATATTCTATCTTCCTAAGGGGGACCATAATGCTTGTTGCCCATCTAAGATGTCATTCGACGAGGGTTTCAGGGGCTCCCAAACTCATAGCGATGACTTTTTAAGGGGTAGAGGCATATCCTCAATTTTGGGAAGTGCCGATATGACTGACAAAGCTCCGTGTACGAGCGATGTTTGGTGGTTGCGAACCTATGCTTCACTGGCAGAGGGGCCATTGTGGCTGTGGAGAATATGCTTTTCAACACCAATGTGATTGCCCCTATGGCATGATGCTACGCAAAGACCCTGCGGGTTTCCCAATTTTTGGGGCCCCAATGATAAGGATTATAGTTGCCATGCTTCTGAATCATATTTGCCTGTTTGCAAGGAGTGTGTTTGCCTGAGCTGGGGTGCGTTGCCTTGTTGTACATGCAGGGATTCCGTACTGGTTCTTAATAGAGAATATGGGAATATATCTTATAGGCATTATACAGGGATTATGTTCCCTGATTCCCTACTAAGAACCAGCAAGTCATGTCAATGAGAGCTTCGGATCACCTATCACAGCCTTCTAGAAGACATCTCGCCCATGCAAAGTTGTAAACCACCCACGCCTGGGCTTCCACATCGTCCTACTCTCTATCCTAGTATTCCGGGAAGGTCCTGGAAGTAGGATTTCTAGGCATCAATGCCTGACTTCTGGAGGCGGTCAAGCTTAAAACTTCAGGCTATGACATTTGGCCAACTATGAGCAGAAACGCTTTGATTAGGTTCAAAGCTGAGTGTTGATCAGTTGTGCTTCAGGGTTTCAGGCATACACTTGTCTCTTTCCGAACCTTGTGACAGGCCAAATCCTAAATCCAGCCTGAGCCCCCAGGCCCAAACCCGATATTACATCCTAATTGCTTATTGCTATGATTCTTTCTATTATTGATGTTTTGCGGAGGCAATCGAACCTCGCCTTTCATTAGCTTCTGGTACATTGACCTCTCCCCTTTGATGTCGGCCAAAGCATTGTTGCGATGGTGGCAGGAGTCGGGTTTACGAATATAGTGCTTGGTTTTGTTGGCCTTGCTGTAATGTGTAGTGCCCATTGGAAGTTTGTGGGCTGCACCAGTAGACTGTAGATTTTAGGGTTCCAAGCGTTCGCAACGGGTTTGAGGTTGAGCGGCACACATGTTTGTATTGTAGAAGAGTATTGCACGAATACTTGGGGGTCTACTGGCTATTGCTTCACCAAGGATGTCCGCATGTATTGCATTAATGCGGGGCAAAAGTTTGCAATGTTAGGAGGCTGTTTACAGGTAGTCTGTAAGACCGGCAGATGCGCATAACTTTGCGATTGGGGTTTAGTCTGGGTGTAGCGCTCCTTGCAGGAAAACGCGCTCGCCGATGGAAGCAAACTCTGCACCATGGCGCTGTAATATACTTGCAAACGATATTCAGGGCATTGAAAGGCAGGGTTGAGGGCAATCTCTCCGATGGACAAGTCATGCTGCTTGTTCAAGGACTGCAGTCTGTAAAGCAACTCAGCACAGTAGTCATCTCCTGCAATGCCTGAGAGGGTAGGGGGTTCGAGGGGAGGTAGTCATTTGTGCTGCAGCAAAATGATGGGGTGGTTGTTCTGGATTGGATCCAGGGCGGTCCCCTAGAACAGATCTACGCAGGGAAGCACATGTAAGAGCGCCAATCTAGTAGACAATCTGGGTAATCTGCAAACCTCCGCGGATGCTCAGAATGGTGGATATCTTCACCTTTCTAAAGTCCACAGTCTTATGAGTAAGGCTTCTCTGCAGCCAGGGCCTAAACCAAAATAATCTCACCACCAAAGCAGGTCCCATGCATCCCAAGCCCCTAAAACCTAGCCTTCGTACGGCTCTTCGCTCTAGCCACTAAGATGCCTGGAGTTTTTGTGGGCTATAATGGGCCATTAGATGTGGAGTCCCAGCTGAATATGCTTCCGCACTCTGGAAAACCCGAGATAGCCATCTACATCCTCCTATGCAGTATATACATACATAAATAAATGTGTATATATAAGTATATACATATTTACATATTTATATATATACACATTCATTACACCTGTTTAATATCTGAATGTTGATCCCCATTACATGTACTTGTTCCTACATCCCCCCTACATCCCAAACCCAAAGCTCTACTGATATGAACCTCCATTTGAGGTCGACGTGGAGAGCTGCCCAGAAGTTGCCAGCCTTGAGACACCGCGCGAGAAAAGCACCGCTGCTTGTGGGGCTAGGGGGATATGGGTTCAGGATCTAGATTCAAGCCTTGGATTTTGGGTTTAATGGGCCTTTTCCCATAGATTCTCGATCTAGATTTGAAGCCCGAAGCCCCAGGATTTAGGGTTCAGTGGGTTTATAGTTTATACCTTGTTTGAGGCGTTGGTGTGCAGGGTTTATGTTTGGGGCTTCGGGAATCAGAGCTCCAGAGCTTAAAGGCTTGTGTTTCACTAAGCTCAGGCAGAGTTTGGGCCTAGCTTTGCGTCGTCAGAGCCTCGTTAAGGGTTTAGAGTAGCGATCTATAGGGATTTATAGGGGTAGTAGGTTAGGGTTTAATTAGGGTGTAGGGATCTATGGGTTGGGGTTAGAGGCTTAAGGCTGCGAGTTTGACACCTGATTTCATATCCATGGGCTTTAAGCAACAGAGGACCAGCTTGGTCACGGCCTGTCCCGCTTTTGGTCGCAGGTACTCTAATGAGTAGGGTGGTTCCAGGAGTTGTTCCAAGTTTTCACCGGTTTAGGACTCTTGGCATTCCGACCTGCCCTGAAAACGCCAAGAGCAGTTCATGACGACGCTCCTTACTGGTTGTAATGGGGAATGTATTATATAGCGATTACATGGGGAGTGGTCTAGACAATGGCTGAGACTGTCTCCTAAGCATCGAAACCCTAAACCCCTCAACCCTAGAAACTATTGGAGCAGTGGCCGAGGGGGATGGCGGATTACTTGGATGACATTGATGAAGAGACCAAGCTCAAGGTGCGCTGTGGATAGAGGGATTGGGGTTTAGGGTTTAGGGATTAGGGTTCCGGGTTTAGGGGTTAGGGTCTAGGGTTTAGGGTTTAGGGTTTAACGGGTAGGGTTTAGGGTTCAGGGTTTGGGGCTAATGGTCCTGGGAGCTTCAAGGTCCCTGTTCTGATTGTGCAGTGAAGGCGGGGGGGGGGGAGTAATCTCAAGTTCTGCAAAGATCGGTGTTTCAGTACGAAGGCAGGTCCCACCCTTGCTCTTTAAAGCCAAACTACTTGGGTGTACCCCAGCATTTACAGATTGATAGAAGGCTACTCATATATATATATATACATACATATATATATATATATCCCATGGAGCCCAGGAAGGGCATGATGATGTGAATGGCTGGACAGCAGTAAGATGCCTGCTTTGGTCTATAGAGCTGCTACAAGAAGCCCAGGGTTGAGGGTGTAATGCAGAGGCCTAAACAGTTTCCAATATTGTGGCCGCAGGTTCTTTTACAATTATTGAGTCTGGGACCTCAAACAGACCAAACAAGTTTCCGTTGTCTTTTCCATTATCCCTATACTACCCCAAATTATTCCCTGAATCCCTAAGAACCAGTAAGCCTAAACTGCGCCGAAGTTATTCGCGAAGAGCATCCTCGGAGTATTGAGGTCGCAGCAGAAGCTGGCTACCCTCAGAGCATCTTTGAGAAGCAAAGGGCTCAGGCAAAACCTGGGACCGTCGCAGTTTATATTGGAATAATCTAGGGTCATTTGGGGTTATATAGGGGATAAAGGAAAATAAAATGGAAACCATTATAATGGATCATATTGCGGTTATTTTGGGGTTAAAAGGCGGGAGAGCGGCTTGTAAAGTCCATGACAGTGAGCTGCTGCCACCTTGTTTTGACTTTCAGAGCCCGGCAGGGTTTCATAGAATTGTAGGTAGATTTCCTGCAAGTACCTTTCATGTGCTTGCTGAGGCTGGCACCACCACACACCCAACAGGAGCACCTTATGCCTGAGTGGGCTACAAGTTTGAGTATCAGCTCCTCTACAAACCTGATCATGCGTTTGGGTGAAAAGCATCTTGCATCTTTCCCAGGATGGTATCTGTTTCCCAGCTACCTTCATCTCTATGACAAGCACTGTGAAGCTATTTGTAATGTTGATGGCTCATACCAGTCTTGCACGTTTCACTTAGGCCAAAGAAGGGGCTTGATGAGGCTGCCATCCGCGCCGCTGCGGCAGAGGAGATGCCGTCGGGGAATATCTTGTTCGAAGCCTTTTTGGTGGCCAACTCTGATACGTAGGATCCTCCTGTTCGCGTGTTGTTTTCAGTGGGCAGGGAACAGAATCCTGCAAGAAGTCTACCTGAACAATCTATTGATATTCGGTATCGTCGTGCCGCAAGGAAAGTGCGTCAACAAGCCTCTGCTATTCTGGCTCTGGGGCACTATAGGGCTCTGCTCTGACCAGGATCTCGGAGTAAATTTCTGAGATCTGTCCTCGCTGCATTCCTGCCGAAGACTGAGCCCCATTCAAAGGTTTTAGAGGCCCATGGGTTATCCTGCCCCACATGGTAGTTGCCATGAACGGGAGCACCCAAAACAGACCACAGTATACCACAATCCCAATGATCGGCCCCCCCCCAAAACACCTTCCAATTTTTGAAGCCCCCTTCCTGCTGTTGGGTCCAAGCACTGAAAGTGGGCGATTTGCCATTATAGCTTGCCAGAGCGCTTATCTGTGCCAGAGCGCTTGCGACCTAGTTAGTCTCGGTCATTAATTACTTAGGAGCCCTTTCTCCGACTAGCCTACATTAGGTGGACCCCCCACTGGCCCCCACCCTGTAATAGTGACTATAGGGGACAATGGTGATTATATTAGGGTCCTCTTATATTCTTAATATACCACTATTACAGGGTGGGGGGTCCTCCTAAGGCCTACAGCCTACATGGTAGTTTCCCAAAATAAGGGGACCCCAATATAGACCCCCAAATACTATAGTGCTTATTATTGGGACCCCTAAAATGGTACCCCTTTTGGGAAACTCCTACATTAAGCTCCTGTTGCGACTGTCTGGTTGCTGGGTAGTCCCTGCAAGCCGCTGTCGACCCCAGAGATCTGAAAAGCTTCGTTCTCCCAGCACTTACGGCATACTCTGGGGGTTTAGGGTGTAGGGTTTAGGGGTTCAGGGTTTAGGGGTTTAGGGGTTTAGGGTAGTCAAATAGCCCAACGTAGGTAATACTTTTAGACTTTACGGGCCAATGTAGCTATCAAAAATATACTTACGTAAAGCCTGAGCCAGTTTACACAGTTCTTTGTTTGTTGGCAAGTTGGTGCAGTCCAGAGTACCGCGAGTTTTCTCCGGTGATGTAGTACCTGGTAATTGCGTTGACGATCCCACCCGACCCCAATCAGAATATTCATGGTTTGCATGTAAAGTTCCCCAAGAGGGCCCTTTTGCAAGTTTATGAGTTTTTGCTTTGGCCAGGAAACTGAAAAGCCCTCAGCCCTTTGCTATCCCAGGACCCCGCTGAAACAGACAGAGTCTATGTGGATCTCATTGTGGCTATTTGGGCTCTATAGATTGTACCTGAGGGGTCTGTAGGATCTATAGGGCCTAGCGGTCGTGATCCTGTTCTACGCTGCAGGATTGGTTCAGCACCAAGGCCCCAGCGCCCCGAGGCGCGAGAGCAACAGTGGAAAGAAGCACATCGCTTTCTGATCCCGACCCCTGGGAGCATTTTGAAGGTCGATCAGGATCCCCCCTAAGGGCTCCAAGAAAGGACCCCATAGTCAGTATAGGGTACTATATGAGAGCTCAACTTTCTAGATCCTCCAAAGGAAAGGATAGCAGCAGTCCCTTGTAATCCTTCAGTGCCCCACACATGATTGGTTCCCTTGAGTAGCCGTATTTAGGTTTTTTCTGGCAGATGGCTGCTGAGGGCACACATGGGGAATTGCCAGCTTAGATGATTCCTGACACATCTTAAAGTGACGAGAAGGTATGATAGCAATTATGTGAGTGTCCCTGTTGTTCCTGTTGGATAGCCTTCACCTGTACCTGCAAAGCCTCGAAAGTGGCAGTAGTTACGTGATACGTTTACTGCCGGCTGCCGTTCTTCCAGCGCTATGCATGTTCCCCACGCAGTGAGCCAACTGAAAGATATCATCTGCAACGATTAGTGATTAGTGGCTATGGGACCATGGCTCTATGGAATCCTGAGCCCTAAACCCTAAACCCTAAGCCCTAAGCCCTAAACCCTAAACCCTAAACCCTATAGCCTATATGATTGTGGTTTGGCTAAGATCATTCCCCTGGCCCAAAAGAAAGCTCCTTGAGACTCCCGAGCTCTCGCGAAAAGCTTCCAGTAGAAACTCAAGTGCTCCACATCCCCAGCTTTGACAGCCCTAGGGATTTAAGTACATAAATAAATACCTACATTAGGCCCTAAAGTTTATAAGTATCACCCATATTGGGCCCTAAAGTCTAAGATATTGGGCGATTTTGGGTCCTTAGGGTTGGTCCATAGATTACTTCGGGTGCCTGGGGGACTTAGTGGGCTTAGTAAGTAGGTTAGAAACCCCATAACCCATATAGTAGCCCTAGTTTCCCTAAGTATAAACCTACTTACTAAGTCCCCCTGACCTTAAACCCTAGACCCTACACCCGAAATACTACATTGTCTCCACGTTATTTTCCATTGTTCCCATGTAAGCCCAATATACCCTGAACCCTAAGTGGTTTGAAGTCCCCCTGACCCTCCAAGTATGAAGTCCAAAGGCCGGGAGACGGAACCGGTGCCGGAGCCAGCAGAGGACTTCTGGAGGGGTTTAGAGGTTTAGAGGTTTCGGAGCGGGAGGGCTTAATGGTTTAGGGTTTAGGGATTTAGAGTTTAGGGTGTAGCTTTATCAGCTCTAGTCTAAACTCCTTAAAGGGCGTTATATAGGGTCTATCTAGAGGATTACTATAGGTGTTACTAATAAGGGGGACACTAGGAGTGTAGACTATATAGCTCTTATAACAATTATCATCCTCATCATTTCTTATAGTTAGGGTGTTTCGGGCTTCTTTACCGAGATTATCACGTACAAGTAGGGGCTCCGTAGGGATTGCTTCATGTCCAGATGATCTTCCCCAACCTTGAAATAAGGACTAAACCTTAGGGTTTTGGGTTTAGGGTTCATAGGAGTTGAGTAATGTTGTTGGGGGTTTTGTGGTGTTCGCCTGGAGGCGGTCCTAGCATCAGCAAAGTCTGTTAGGCGTTTAAGTGGCCTACCTGAAAATTTGTACTTTTGGGAGTACAGACCCTAGATTGCCCAAGGTCAAATTTCAGCAACGTCCTCACCCATGAAAATCCCCAGACACAGCTAACAAGCACTATCCCAACGTGGAATTGTGCTACATAGAACATCTTCATGTCTAGGGGCATGGACCAGTGTGTCTTATAATGATTACCTGCTTCCCATATACAACCTAGCATTCCTTGCGTAACCCTACCCAATTCCAGTTTCCATGCATTCATTTTCCATATGACTTTCGGTTTGATTCCTGGTCATTATGGGAAGGGGATTACGCTAAACTACGACCCCTCAATTATTTGTATTCGCCTTACAAGTGGGGAGTGGATTTATGATCTAGGCTCATTGTGACTACCGTCGGCTTCATACTTTGCTCTGCTGAGAAGTCGGGGATGTTGCATTCTGTTGTTTTTTGGGGGACTTTGCGACCTCAGAATTTTCAAGGTTGATTTTGAGGTTCAGGACTTTGGGATTTCGAGATGTGAAAGAGCTTTCCGTATCGGAGTCCCTGGAGCAGATTCGGTCAGATCTTCTGGACGCAGGCAGGCTTGCAGAGTACATCCTCCTTGACCTCGACGGACTAAAGCTTTTGAAGTGTGCATGTATATATATACATATGGGGGTTGCCAAAATGTTGGGGTACCTTTTTGGGGATCCCCATAATAAGGACTATAGTATTTTGGGGTCTATATTGGGGTCCCCTTATTTAGGGAAACTACCATGTGTGTATATATATATATATAGATGTATGTCTGAAGCCTCAGCTTAGTGCTTCTCGTCCTCGACTTTGCGTGGCGCAAGCCATCAAAGTCAAAGAGCCCTAGAACCTCCAAGCTAGTAAGACGACTCTCTGAAATTTCCGTCCAAAACCTGTCCAGACTTCATGTGACGCTGTTCTTTTGAGATCCCGCTACTGGTGCTCACCTGGCTGACGTTGAGCTTTCCCGCGTTTCCCCGCTACGCAGGAGGCGCCTCTTCGCAAAGATGGTGAGAGCCCTGCTGCCATGTGGGTGTGTTTCAAGTTGTGGTCTCTTTCGACTCAAAATACACGGTGCCCCATCAAGAGAATCGTCAGGTGGAGTTGATGAAAGGAAAAAACTTTGTTCAGTGCCCAGTGCCAAGTTTAATCAAACCTGCAGGTGATACCAGTACGAATAGCTACGGTGGCTGCAGTGGTGGTAGTAGTAGCAACAGCAGCAAAAATGAAGCAGTAATAGCGGCAGTAGCATCCTGCCCTGCTGCAGCAGGGCCAGAGAAATATGTTTCTTCCTGGAATCCTTTCTCATAGCTTTACAACTGGCGCCACGGCTTTCTAGCTAACCTTCCTCATCTGTAGGAGCCTTTCGTTGAGGTATTTAATGGCACTTTAGAATTTACATCCAATGCGTGTGTCAATTATTCAGTTCATGACCCCAATGCACTGTGTGAGGTGGCAACGTCCTGAAATGCCTGGAGGGGCTTGACTGGGAGCTGATCGAAGACGAGGTAGCAGCCACAACGATACAAATATTTTGGGCTATATTATAATAGGGTATATTTTGGGGTTATATACAGGAATAATGAAAAGTAGAAAATAAGATAGAAACTCTTGTTTGGGGTGTAGATTAATCAGCTCTAGTATCAGTGGCATTGGATATGGTAATAGGTAAAAGCAGTGAGGAATGTATGAATAGTTGCAAGGGCAAGCCTAGCGAGAGTTTGTCGACCTACCCAACCCACGGGGTCTGGTTAAAGGAGCAGCGTTTCTGACATTGACCTTAACTTAACATTGCATAGGGTACAGGTGGCTTCATGCTTCTGAAGCTCCATAGCATCGCTTAGAAGCAGCCGAGGCAAGTGTTTGTTATTGAAGAGAACATATGCCAGCTTGCCTGTGGGCCCGGAAAATCTGCGGAACGTTGATTTTCGTATGTTCAGGCCGGAGGCATCCGTCCTCAACCCACAAGCGACTGAGATCTACGGGCCCTAGGAAGCTCACGGGGAACGTCCACGCCAGCTCACGACCCAAACCCTTACCGCGAAGCTCCTTGAATGAAGCAGGAGAGCCTGGCGGTCAATGTGACTTTCAGTGACAGCCTTTGGTTCCGCCTTTGTGGGGTGCGGAGCTCAATTCACTTCTCAGGAAAATGGTGAGGAGTCCTTGGATAATTAGTTCTGGCAAATTCATTAGTGTGACCTCAACCGACCTCACACCAAATGGTGTGTATTGTTTCGAAGAAATGTGTGTTCACTTCACTTCAGGTTCTGAAACTATTTGATCAGGCTGTCCAGTTTTAGTCTCAAGATCAAGTTAGATCCACAGTAAGCAAGCCAACCCTCATGATATTGACCTGGCCAGCAAAACCTCAGCCTAACAAGTCGTGCCAGCTGTTGTAATTGTTGTACCACTCCTTGAAGTCCTAGCCAAAGTACTGGTCATAAGTATAACGCTCTTGTTGTTTAGGGTTTGATTTAGGGTTTGGGGGTTATTGACAACCGTAAAGAAACATACATCACTACGCTAAGATGATGGTACATGATGGTACATGACGATGATGATGATTATAGCACGCCAGGCCACAAGCAAAGCCCTAAACTCCGTTTCCAAAACAACGAATACACACACCTTGAACCCAAACCCCAGACCCAAAACCCTAAGCCAAAATTCCCAACCCTTACACCTTACACCTTCAATCCAAAACCAAGTACTCCCTATATGTATATATATATGCACCCTATTACAATTTACTAGTTTCCTTTTTCTTTTAAATTATGCCTACATCATATGATATTCCGTTATTCCCTATATTACTGCTATGCAGTCCCTGAAACCTAAACCTTAAACCCTAAACTCCAACACCTAAAATTCCTTTAGGTCACAGGCTACTCCGCCTTCAAGGAGGCTGTCAGCTTCGAACTTGCGGAGCAGCAGCTGACAGAGCCTCAGAAACTGCCAGTCCTTCCACTGTAAGGGTTTAGGGTTTAAGGTTCAGGGTTTAAGGGCTATATAATAACATATGGAATACGGGAATGTATGATACAAGGGTTATACATAGGGATAATGGAAAAGAAGATGGAGACCACCACATTAGAATGGGGTACATATATGTGTACATATATATATATGTATATAGATATGCATATATATATATATGGAGGGAGTCAATCGGGGGTTTCCATTATCCCTATATAATCCCGATAGAATCATGTTACGCAATTCCCAGCGCAACCGAGGCGGGTACTGCATGCGGGCTCTGCCACTTCCCCGGCTTGTGTGGCGATTTGACTCTTGAAGTTTCTCAAGACATTCCTTATCACCCTGCGGTAGCGGCCTAAATTTCAGATACCCTTCCCATTTTTTATATACATAATACCAATTTTGCGAATACATACTAACAAGCTGCTGGGGTGGCGTTAGAGGACCTAGACACCCCTACTATATAGGGTGCTACGTGCTGGCTTTTTTTGGGGGGTGCTACACCGAAGAAATGCATTTTAGCCTGGGCTGAAAGGCCTACTAGTCAAAACCTACATTTCCCATTGTACCCTACATGCTTCGGGCCAGCCGAGCATAGCCGAGAAAAATCTTTGATCGCTACACGGGACTAGTCTAGCTAGCGCTGTGCTTTCTATGTTACACCCTAGACTTAGACATAATCCGCGTCGCACTGCACCCAGGGTATGCCCCGACTTCACGCAAGGCTTGAAATCGTGACCCTCAGGGTACTAGAGAACGGGGGTTTGAAATGGATCTGCAACCACTTAGCCATGATAGGGACATGCAGAGTAAGGAGTGGATGTTGAAACTTAGGAATGTGTAAGTTTCGTAAGGACGTGATCGGGATTCCCATGTGAAGCTTAGGAATGTGTAAATTTTGCAAGAACATGATCGGGATTTCATTGTGGATTATGCATAGGGTTATGCCGTGACGTCATCCATCTCCTACAGAACAACGCGAATCCTGCACTTGAAATCTCTGTGTCACAGCGCTACTGAGACCAGAAAAGTGGTCCCGGTTACAGAAGAATGCTCCAGGCTTCGTATGCAACGGGGACAATTTTTTAGGGAGCTGTAAAAGGGACCATCATTGGCCTCCATGGACGCTCCTTAGCACCGACCCACGACTGCGCATGCCGGGGCTACATGGATGCGTTTTAGCCTACATCTGCGCACTTCAGCTCGGACATGCACGCCAGCCCGTCCTGGTACAGAATTCCACGTACTGTGCCTTCAGACTCTCTTTAGGAACCAGGGAGATATCAAACCCTAGCATGTTCGGCCAACCACCGTATGCATAGCCGACAAATTCTTTTAGAACCTACATAAACCCTTGGCTGAAAAGGCTACACTTTGGGTCTTTGAAGTTAGATTTTAGAAATGGGGCTACACCCCGGCATTTCAGCCTTACACCCGCCCATTTTACCGGCTATAATGGGGGTGTGTGAGCCTTGAGGGACGTGGGAAAGGACATCCCCTACTCTTTTGGGCAATTCTCCAGTCCTAGACCCTCAACCCTAAAGAGCAAGCACCAGGTTGTACTGGACCTTCAATTGCCCAGTCCAGTCGTCTGGTCCTAAGCCCTGCTCTTTCTCAGACATACTTGGTAGGGTCAGGGGGAGTACGCAAATAGGCTAAGGATTAGGATAACTTGGTTTACTACATACATGTTATGGGGGTTATTGGCCTGCTTACTAAGTCTTACTGACCCCCAAGTAGGGAATGTTGCATTCAAGATAGGGGTGCACCGGCAGGTAGATGCAGGCTTTTCAGGGCGAAGGTTATGGGGATTGCATGGGCCGGGTTCTTGTGGAGGAATACGTAGCAGGTTCCTTCTTGTACGGGAATTGCACCCTCTGCGAAGGGCAGATGCAGCACGTTAAGCGTGGGACGCTGTGGGTTTGCTTTTCGCAGTTTTTGACATGGCCTGTAAGGGAGTAGTTCTGAGACCGAGGAGTGACGCGTTTTCAGCGGATGTGTAGAGGCTTTTGATATGCTTCTGACGAACCTCAAGTTAGAGGAGGTATGTTGCAACTTTCTGAGCTTCAGGGACCTTTCCCACAGCATATACTACTTTAGTATACTAGTATACGGCGGTATACTAGAGTAGTTCTAGTATACTATGGTACGCTCAATCCAGCTCCGGAATAGAGATGCTTCCAGCCCGGGACCACCCAAGGACCCAAGCATTGACCTTGCTTTAGAGGAATTAGAGGCAATGATGGGGCTTATTTAGTTCTGGTGAGTTATCCAGTGATAACCAATGTGCTTGGTGTCGCCCACGTTGTTCTTGACAGGCGCAGGGAACATGGGAGGATCTCTCTTCTGAGACATAGAGTTGTTAAAGAGTGACTTGATTGTCAGACCTGCGCATTCAAGAATAGCGCACCTGAAGCCGGATAGAGAACAAGTATCTGCACCCGAAACAAAGGCACCAACCACTCCCTGGGACCTCTTTAGGGTTTAGGGTTTAGCATTGGCACCCCAAGGTGGCGTGGCACACCCCACTCTAGCATGCACCTCTTGGCACTCCTTGTTCGTGGAGGGTCAGGAGGTCTTGATAGTAGGTTAGTAGCCCCATAACCCATATAGTAACCCTAGTTATCCTAATTATTCAGCTACTTACTAAGTCCAAGTGACCCTCAACCCTAAACCCTAAATACTACAGTAGTTTCCACTTTCTTTTCCATCATCCTTATATAACCCCAGTATACTATAATAGTTTTAAGTCCACCTGACCCTCCTCCGACTCAGCTCATGATGTATGTGCCTAAACCCTAAACTCTAAAACAGTTTCCATCTTCCTCTTCTTTTCCATTATCACTATATATATATATTTACATATACATATATGTACAAATATATATATATATGTATATATATACATCCCCAATATGCTATGGTAGTTTTAAGTAATCTCTGGGTGGCAGGATGCCCCGGGGGCTTCTGCGAGCGTCAGCAGCCGCAAGATGCGTGTTGCTGTCAAGGCCAGCACGTCCAGAGGTCAGTTGGGGTATCCGACTTTGGGGTTTCAAATTCTGGGTTTAGGGCTTAGGAAGGTTTGGTAGTGATTATCGTAGTGTTGCTTTTGTGGGGTTTATGGTCTGGTAAAGTGGAGGAGTCACTTCAGGTATCCTCTCTTGCCGACTGCACCCCAGGAGAGCTCTTGTCTCCTCAACAGGTTTGCTCTACATTTGTTGAGAAAATGCTGCTGACCATCTCCATAGTCGTTATGGAGGTGCTACCAGTAAGTTGTGCTTGATGTCTCTTTGTTGATCTTAGAAGCCATGATCAACGCAGAACTCTGATCAAGAAGCCCTTGTCTTTAATCATAGGACATAGTACGTCAAGATCTGGGTCCGAAAAGCAAAGATTAGTTGACAAGGGCTGACTAGCAACACAAGTGCGCTATTACGATTCAAGCTCACATGTTATGCTAGTTACGCTCGCGCAAACCCTAAACCTTTCCATTTTATTTTCCATTATCCCAGTACAACCCCTATATAACACCCGAAGCCCTAAACCCCTTAACCCTGGGAAGGGTAGCACCAGATGCTCCACACTGCCACAGGCCCGGAAGCTCTCGAAGAAGTCTTCCTGAGCTCGTGTGAGCTGGGAAGCACGGCCGAAATGAGCCGCGGAAAAGACTACTCTTCTTCTTATTATTATTATTACTATTACTACTAGTAGTACGATTACCATTATAAGTATTATTATTATTACTACTCGTATTGCTGAATGCTAAGGTAACATCGTCCTGCCCTGAGTAATGAGGCATTGTTGGGATCTCATGTTGTTTAACTTGCCCAGGATGTGACGACATGACAGGGAGTACCATCCCCAAACAAAAAGCACCCCATGCAGGCCCATGATATCGGCCCGCTTGCAAAAGAACTGCCGTCTTTGTAGCGTGCCTCCTTGTGAGGTTCCTTGTTGGTGTGGCAGAGGGTGCGGCATGGAATTGTGACGGTGTCATTCTTGAGGTGTCTTTATCACTCTTCCAGGCCTTATTGTCCCCCTTAAGTAGATAGAACATGGCTTTGGGTATATTATAACTAGATCCCCGTATACCACATATTCTATCTACTTCAGGGGGACTATACGTTCCAAACCACATTTTTCTCATTCTACGATACTGTACTAAGATGGGCACACATACTTACATTCATGACCAGCTTTGAGTCTGTGGGTCTACAGCGAACTACAGCGTGGAGGGATGTACGGGGCTTCCTCAGGCCTACTGGCATAGTAAGAACTTATTGTTTCCCAAAGATATTCAACATGATGGAAGTATGTTTCTTGGCGCAGGGGCGCGGGATAAGGGAGAGAAGGAAGAGCTCATCAACGGAGACCAGCCTCCAGTGTGCAAATCAAATCGTGGAACTATGTGGAACTTCCATGTAGAAGCCATCGACCGACTTAGCTACCTTGTGCTATGTCCTTCCGCATCGTGCCGGATTGCCTTAGAATTGTCAGCCTGTTTCCGCAGAATGCCTGTCTGGCGTTGGTAGATACAATCTGTGCGTCTGTCATGATTGCTCCCTAAATCTGTATGAGAGTAGCTATGCGTAAGCCCATGTCAGCAATCTTTATCCATACGTTCATTCTGCTTTCTATTCCTTACAGCAGCCATTCTTACCATCAATCTGGCCACTTGCCAGGCGCCGGATCTGTGGACGTGATGCACTGCACCAGCCATGGGCAGAGGTGGGGCTGGGTGGGGTTTGGAGTGAAGTCGTTGGCGTAGGTTCAGGGGTAAGTTGGGGTTTAGATGAGACACTGGCAGGGGCCAAGTACAGTGCCGATGCTTGTAGAGCTTCATGATACTTCTTCGTGCATGTCGTCCCCCACATGGTTCAGCTGCTTCTAACTTATGGTTTGAAAGACAGTTCTGCTGTACAGGGTACAGCTCTACGGCCCATCAGGGTTGGCAACCATGATAGGACGTTGCAGTTTCCACAATACCGCCTGCCAACCACGTTTGTTGTTGCAAGATAAGTCTCGAGCGGGTAATTGGTGAAAATAATCATTACATACGGCTGAGGGCTAGGCCAAATATAGGTTGTTCTCAAAATTATGGGCCGCTTTTAGTTGCAGATTGTATTACGGCTCCTAGTATATTGGGGTATTGAAATAGGACCCTAATTTTGGAGACTAATCCTAAAAACACCTATGGGCACCAAAGCGGGACCCTAATCTTGGAAGCTAAACCTTAAACCCTAAACCCTATGGGTACCAAAAGAGGCCCCTAATGTTGGAAACTACCCATCTACTTCCCTTGCCCAACAGCTTTTCTTGGATTGGAAGTTGGCCTGGGACGAAAAGTAGCAATCATAGTATCCATGATAGTAGTAGCAGCGCCAATTATAGTTACAATGATGCATAATAGTACCACTAATTATGAATACTAGTGCCAGTAATAGTTATATATTCATACTAGTAATAACAAGAACAAGTGAGTCCGAATGGCTTTGGCAAGCTGAGTTCCACAGTACTTTCTCCACCCCATCAAACTCGACAATTGGAGTGGCTGACGCTAGCCCCACGCAAGTGGGATATTGCGGTTTCGTGCATGGAGCCACAACTAAGAGAGGATGTCTGATGGGAAATGGTTTTGAGGTTAAGGGGGCCGCAACTATGTAGCTCATTAATCATTACCAAGGCTGATCCTTGCTGCACAGCTGGAACCTAAGAAGGCAGATATAACCCTAATATAACCCTAAT